AGAGGAACTTGTTTGTTCCGACCTGTTCCGATATATTTCCTGCATTCAAATGAAGGTTTACGATTAATATTAGAGGAACTTGATGAAATGTTGAATTTGTATAAACTTTAGCTTAATCTAGTATTGAATATTAACTTGGCTTTAGTTTGAATCAGTAAGCTGAAGTGTTTTGGTTGCTAATTATTGCAAAACCTACAAAGCGATCATGTGCTCAAGATTCGGCATGGGAAATTTTTCGCTTATCCTTTTTCGGATCATATGTTTTGAAAATGAAGCTCACAGTCTTCCTTTGGTAGCCTAAAGACAGCAATGTCATCAAAGAACCAACATTACTTTTTCGTAGTAAGAAGCTGGACTTCAAGACTAATCAAACAGATAGAACAAAACTTCCACAACTTGGGAATCAATCCTAACTAGGAATAGACCCGAGTAGCACAAGTCGGATAATCGAGATGAAATCCCACGCTAGGACGACGTGGTTACGATCTGAGGGCGAATTTTTCGTGATGACGAAAAATTTGACCTGAAGTCGCCGTGATATCTTCCTTGCGTAGGATTTCGTCTCGATTATCCGACTTGTGCTCTTCGGGAGAATTATATTTGACATTACTTACGAACGACCATGACAATCCACAAAAATAATGTAAACTAAGCATTTGAGCAGGTTTACGGAAGTAAATTTCTTTTAAAAGCATTTGCAAAATACAAGAAAATGTAAGCAACTAAAATTTCTCAGGTGTTGCTTTAAGAATCCTCAGAAAAATTCCATCATCTTAAATATTACCATTGCACATCCATTAGAATTCGATTCCCATTCTTTCGGCTTTAACTTTATCTCCCCTTTATCCCATCATTTCTCGTCTTGAAATTACTCTTCCTCAAAAATCCCTTTTTTCCTCTATCTTTTCATCCCTTGATCCAGAGTGTATATTTTTTGTGTATACACGTTGATGGTGTATAGAATACAGCTTTTATTCCTCATCTTCGCTCTTTTTTTTATCCATGTGCCCGACACACATTGTGAAAATGAAGGAGGATGAAAGTCAGGATCAAATTAAGGAGATAAAATGAAGAAAAAAAATCAGAAGCATCGAAAGTCAATTGGCAAGAAAGACAGTAAAAGTTTGTCATTAAAGGAAAAAAGTTTCTCGATATCGGCACAAGAAGTTCTCAAATTTCCAAATAAAAGGAAAAAAGACAAAATTATTTTTTGTTGTGGGCCCCAAATACATCCACCAAGCAACACAAACCACTACCTCTAATGTTGGATATTTTCTCTGACGTTCACTTTTTTTTCTCCTTTTCCTCAGTGATGGGTGTAGAATCAAATAATAGAAAAGGAAGAAATGAAGAGAGACGATGTTGATGTGCGATGGGTATGAGAAATGAACATTTCGAGTTTTTGGGGTGTGAGAGGGCTCCAATATATTGCCGAGTAGCAATAGAAATATATACGAAGAGGGATTTTTTCGAGTTTTTCGTTATTTTGGTTCTGCTACTGCCACATATCCACCCCCGCATATAATTCCCATTCTACACTTTCCTCAATATATCCATCCATCTATCTATCTCTCTAGCAAAGCAGGCAAGCAAGCAAGCTAGCAAGTACTTTATCTATAGAATGGTACCGTCGGAGGATGATGATGAAAAAAAAAATGGCAAAAAGTAGATGGAATGAGTGAGCAGTCACTGGCACCCGCTGAATTCCAAGTTGAGTTGAAATTTCTCTCCATTCAAACTTGATGTGTATAATGGATATGAACCAATTTGGAATGAGGTTTGGAAATTATAGTCGAAAAAAAAGGCGAGAGACAGAGGGATACACATTCGAGGCGTCTCACCCACTCTTTTGGAACAAGCCACCCATGGTCTATGTACAATTTACTATGTATGTTGATGATTATGTACATAGCCAAAATAATACTATAGAAAATGGTACATAAGAAGGAAAAACTATTCCAACAGCAGCGGCAACAGCACAAAAAGATGAAGAATTCGAAAAAAAATACAACACAACGAATATCATCCCTCATTTCATCCGTTTCTCTGTATGTACGAAAAATGTGAAGCACAATTTTTTTTTTCTACATACTTCTTGCGAACAAGAGATGAGATGAGATGAGATGAGACTCCGGGACAATATGAAAAGATGAAAAAAAAAAAGGAAATATGTATGTAGAGGGAATAAGAAGAGGGTATACATTATTGGATTGACGTTTCGAATGAAATTTTTTTTTCTATATTTCAATCATGGTGTGAGGTGAGTGTTGAACATTGCAAAAAGGCAAGGCGAGGCGAGGGAGAGTGAATGGCATAAACACGTGATCATTACCACCGCACCCTATGTGTACAATATATTTATCCATATATATGTGAGCCCTATAGGCAACATTCAATGGCATGAAAATGGAAAAATTATTTTGGTCTCACATCTAGCTTCGATATGCTTGTGAGACTCTATCATAGTGATGGGGCACATAAAATATTGTAGAATTTCATTTCAGCTTTTTTTTCCTCTTTGAAACTTTTTTTTTCTCGAGCTGCATTTTCTGGATAAAATGTTGAATCCGAGCATTGCTGTGTCTGACTGTTAAAATAGGTTGGATTCTAGTCTGGATGCTATGATCAATGGATACTCTTAAATACAACAGGTGGTTCAGAATCTATCAAAAGCTGTAAGCTAGGATTTTTGAGGTTAAGTCTTATAAATCTATATTAGTTGTGTTGCTAGTAAAGCTATAAATTAGTTTGTTTTAAAGCAATGGAGGAATTTCAGGATTGGATGTGTTGAACAGGACGCTAGAGTCCTTAGTATCCTGAACAGCAGAAGGTTTTAAATGATAAAGCAGTCTTTAGACAATCTTTAAAGACGGCAATGGCCCCACGGTCACACTAGTCAAGGAAGTAAATAAGTTAAGCCTTAAAATCTTGTAAATTCATTTAAGCGCAAACTGGCTCTTAAAGCAGTTACGATACTTGAATATTAAAAGCAGTTTCTATCAAATCATCCTCTGCCTTCCTCTCTCTAGCTATGTCCTTGCCTCAAAGCCTTTCAATTAACAATCTAAACATTTGTAGTAATGCGCCAATATCCAACATTAATCAGTAACATTTCCATACCAATTTTTATTTTCACTTCCATTCCGCTTTTACTCGCTGCTACCATATCTGTTGTGCTTGCTATTCAAATACAAAATATGCTTTGTATGTAAATGAATGTGTGCCACTTTTATTTGCGTTATTTTTTTTTGCCATCGAAAGCAGAAAAAAAAATTATTTTTTTTGTTCTGCCTTTTTTTATGGATTGAAATGAATAGACGAGTTGTAGAAAGAGGAGCAGCAGCATGAATATTGAGGGGCAAATGTGTAGCACTCACTCTCCTGCCTTCACTCGATTTTTTTTCTATGTCCACATATAATCAAATAAATATTCATTCAAACACAATATCCTTGTTTATATGAAGCGGTACCTTAACGTATATGAAGGATATATGAATGAATATATGGACATACGAACATGTATACATTGTAGATGGATAAAGTAGATATAAGAAAATAAGAAATGAAAATTGACATTGAGGCACACATAGGAGTAAGAGGCACACACAAAATGTCCATTCATGTTAAAATGTGTGCATGTTATATACACATAAAAGCACCATATAGATCCCTTATCGCAATAGCAAAGACAGAAAAAAATAGGAGGAAAAAATATATGTAGCTACAATGTAGACACAAAAGAAAATTCCGAGGGAAAAAAAAGAGTGTTGTCAATTGCAATTATTGCTGTCGAAATGAAAGTAAATGAAGAAAATTGGACAATCGACATTCATTGTAACGAAGGCATAGACATAGTAAGGTCCAACAATTTTCTATTTCATTTCATCGTCAATTTTCTTTCTCTTATCATTTCCCATTCCGTTCATCAAGAATCAGATATTGTAATAAGGTCGAAATAGAAATGGGGAACGTCTTGTGCCTTGTTTTGGGAATTGGAACTTATGCTTTTTGTTTAGATTCAGAGAAGATTTTTATTTCTTCTATAATTAGACATTTCCAGGAATCATTTGATGCTCAACTGATTTGAATGTAGATTGACGTGATTAAATGGAAGTGAATAGAAATTCTTCCTAGAAGTTGTAGTATGTTTGAGTGCCTTGTTTTGATAGATCTTCTTGGAATTTTATTTATAATACAGTTGTATGTACAGAATATTTTAATTACAAGTATTGAGGCTTTTCTGGAAAATTGTGATTTTTATTTTAAGCAGTTGTTATTGAACGGCTTTGGAAAATTATAAAGAATAGATAATGTTGGGGTCCTGTTATTCATGATTTTTAAACATTCAACTGAGAAATTACATTGTAAGGTTTTGGGCGCCAAGCAATGATGATGGTTGTTATGTAAGGCTAGGATATTTGAATCCCAGCTGTAAAGCTGAAGAACAATCATTTATTAGATCTTCAATAGCTGTTGGCTAGAGAATAAGCAACATAATGTTCAAATTTAGAGGTATCATGGAAGAAGAAGAGTAGTCAGAGCTATCTTAATGTCTCAAAGTGCTCTTATGGCTCCCTGCTGATAAGAATTGATCAAATTTGACAACCCCCGACCCAAATCACCAAGCTTGATTGAAAAACTTTCCAAAAAATCTAATTTTTCCTCAATATCAATCTCGTCCAGAAGATATTCATAAAAATTGCAAAATAAATTAAACAAATCACACCAAGCACTAATATAACAATAAACTATTTCCCTTAACTAGTTCAATAATCAAAAAAAGGAATGAAGTTGTCACCCCTCCAATGAATTTGAACGTTACGTATTTCCATTATCAACATCAAAATGTTCCAAAAAGCAAAAAGACAAGAAATAAAAGAAGAAATTCCAATTTTCATAAATGAGCGTCGTCGTAGTATATAGATAGTAAGGCAGCAAAATAGAATAAATTTATTTATTTCATTTAGAGTTTGGGGGGTAAGAAAAATAAAAAGACTCACCAAATTAAGAGCCTCTGTATCTGAAAGTCCCATACTTCTCGTCATCAGCAAATATGTTGATGTAATTGGCTTGATGTCGCCCGTTAAATGAGATCGTCGTGATGTATCAATTGATATGATGTCTCTCGTATGATAATCATTGTCAATATCATTTTCACCGTTGGTGTATTTGGATAAATTGTTATTGCATGGTGTGTTAGTTGTGTGCTTAATATTATCATCATAGTCATTATTATTACTGCTTTTATTACGATTATCGTCAACATCTTCATAATTTTCATCTCTATCATGTTTTATGTGCTGATAATTATTGTGAAGGGACAAGTCATCAGGTACTTTTTCATATATCCTCATCACCCCATGACTATTTTTTATGTAAGATGCTGCACGTGCCACTGCATCATTGCAATATTTATTATTCTCATTTTCGGATACATTTTTACTATTTTTTGCATCATTCATGGACGGTGCTGTTCCCAATTGTTGATTAATGGGTGATATTGTAGTCGTTGTTGTTGTTATAATAGAAGTAGCATTTGATGATGTTGGAAGTGGATGAAGTTTTGTCGGTGTAGTTGTACATGAAATTCGTACTTTATTAATATTGCCATAACTACCATCGGAACAGTGTGTCTTGCCAGCAACATTAATTGAAACATCTAAAGAATTTATGATTATGTTGCCATGATTTGTCTCCTTTTCTATTACTGATGATTCATTTAAGTCATTCTTTGTATTTACATTTTTATTCTTATTATTCTTATTCAAATTATTCTCTTTAAATGCTTCCTCGCATGATTGCTCCGGATTTTCATCACCATCATCATTTATGTCCTTTATTCTATTCAACAATGATGAATTCTCGTACAATGCTCTCAGCAGCAAATAATAATTTTCAATATTTTTTGGATAATCCTCATCTGACAATGATTGCTGTTGATTGTTTGATACTCGGCTGTCATTATCATTGCACAAATCGTTTTGCTTGCATTCACTTGCTTTATTCTCAATTTCCGCTATTTCCTGTAGCATTGGTGTTTTTATGCTACGACGGCATTCGTGGCATTGTGTGAGGAATTTTGTGACAGCCTCGCGTGGTAAGAATGCATAGTATTCGGTTATCTGGTGGGGTTATTTAAGGATGGTATTAAAATCAATATATTTGTTTATGAAATAGGTTTTTGGGGTATTCTAAAGGGGCTGTTCACTTATTACGTAACGCGAAAAAATGACTTTTTAGACCCCCCCCCTCGTAACAAAATTTGTATGAAAAAAAATTTCCTTGTTTGAACCGTAACAAAATCTTAGACCCCCCTCCCCCCCTAAAAGCGTTACGTAATAAGTGAATGGCCCCAAAGCATTTTATGAATTTTATTTGAATATAAAGCAGGAACTGACTTCTAGGCCACCCTTGGATATCTACGTTAGTCATTTTCAGCTTTCCTTTACATCCTTTAGTTTAGTAAAGCGATCATAAATTCTAGGGGGTTCCCGAATATCTTTAGACTGCTCTAGAAGTGTACAGAGAGAGCACCAAGCATGTGGAACTGACCAAAATGATCAAAACTGATTAGATTACAATTAATCAGTTTCACACGCTTAGGGCACACAAAACCAACATCTAAGGTTTGTCAAAGGTCTGACTAAACTCAGATCTTTCATAAAAATCTAATTTTAACTGACTTAACTTGATTTAAAACTTGTATTGTTTTTAAACTATAAGGTATGCTCAAAAAATCAACTTGTCATTTTTAAAATTCAAGGTAATTCATATCTAAACAGTTCCAACGCAGAATATGAAAATACTCACTTTTCGATACGTCCTCTTTTGCCCAACATGACGTCCTTCACCTTCATCTACCGAACAATGAACTTTGTAAATAATATTGAAGAAATATTCAACAACTGCGACACGTTTGTATGACGAAATGCTGCTGGAATCCTATAATTAATATACACAAAATTTTACAATAATAAAAATTAATGATGAATAAAATAAATGAAAATGAAAGTCAGCAAGAGGTGCGTTACGTCAAGATTTTCGTGGGTGTAAGTAAGAATAAATTTAATTTGTGAAATTTTTCGAGCGAGAAAAAAACAACTAAATATAAAAATGAGGTTATTTTTGGATGCTGAATCTGTTCGATTACGCATTTGCGTTCCTGAGGTATTTCATGAGAAAGTTGATAGGTGTTTTGAGTTATAAATGGTTCATCGCAGATTGTTGTTTCCATTTTGGTGAATGTTTGTTTAACCTGAACATTATTTGGATCATTTTTTTGAAATTTAAGTTTTTGTAGCTGTACCATCATTGGTTATGCCATAACATCATCATAACTTAAGGCAGTGGAAAATTCTCAGCCCAAAAAGTTATCGAACATGAAGAAACATGAATATTTATGACTTAAAGTCAACATTTGGAGCCTAATGTGTTTTAAGAATAATAATAAGAAGTGAAAAATTTTAACATGTTGCAAAGGTCGAATCAAATTCTCAGAACAAATAAGAAAATATGCAGGATGAACGCCTTTGCATTTCTTATACAGGAATCAAGCATCAAGTGAAGGCAATATTGACGATAACAAAATCATAAAACATCATAAAATAAGAACAACGAGTTTGTTATTATAGAATAAACAAATTTTTGTATTAAAGTTTTAAAAATTCAACCTTATTTTAAGGCACGCTTTTAGAGCTTCAAGGAGATTGAGGAAAAGTTTAAGAAAATAATGGTGATTTTCACATCCATAGCTTAGTTTATCGTTGGTTTTTGAAGCATCAACATTAGATAAGATTGAGTTTAGCATTCCTAATGGGAAAAAGAGGAATTGAAGAGGTTTGGACTAGCTGGGTCACAAATGACTTCTCCTTAACTGGAGAAGCATTTGCAAACTCAATATGAGGTTGATGCAAGAGCAATAGCATTGATGCATATTGATACAATTAATGGTTCAAACTGATTTTATTCTCAAGAACTTCTTCAAATTTTAGTAGAATCAACTTTTAATCATACATTTTGTCACCTCCTTTACAATTCAATTTTATTATCTTTCCCCAAAGCCAGAGATAACTCCAATTTCATCGAATTTCAAATGGAAATTTTCAAATCTTGTCAGCTCGACTTCAATCTCTTATCTTAACTTTACCAGTCACAATTTCAAATTACTTACCGGTTTACAAGGTATAAACAGCAAACAACCATCTTCCTCGACTTGACTTTTCTTTGTTTCCTTAAAATCCTTTGGTAATTCCGATATAAATCCTAAACACATAAATAAACCATGAAAAAAAAAATCATTGAATCAGCATAAAAGAAGAAACAACTTGTTGCATATTTAAAAAAAAACTTTGTTCCATTTCACATCCGCAATAAATCAAATTGAAAGAGAAGGCAGGAAAGTTTTAAAATAAAACTTTTTTTTACTTCTCAACAAGTGTTTAAATTACATCAATAAATACCAAAATTTGCCACAGACAATTATTTCATGCAATAAAAAATAAATTTTCTCCCTTTTTCCATTTAATTTAATTTCCATCATCATCATCATCATTATTCACCTTTTGATTTCACCCAAAATCTAAATTTTGAGCTGTCGGGACGATTCATTTCTAATCCTTTTAGAGTGCTCACAATACGTGACTGCTTTTTTAATGTTATCGTTTTGCTCTTCGACTGATCTCCGTATGTGTGGAGGACCCATGGTTGATAAATCTATATCATTTTTGGGATGTTGAGTTGTTCGTTTGTATTGCATTGAGATGAAGCCATGAACGAATGTAGATATGCATGTGGGTGGACAAAAAATAAGGAGAAGAAAATAAGATGAAAATAAAAATCCATTAGAAGTTGGAAAAAAGAAATGAAAAGAAAGGAAATAAATGAGTTTGAAAGTTATCAAGGATGTGTGTCAGTAGCGCATTTGAAGGTCAGCTAATGTAGTAAGCATGACAAAATATCATGGACTGTATCTACTGATGTATTTATTTCATCTGAAGGGTTGTCATAGGTAGTCAAAGAACATAGCTCTTGACCATCCAGCCATACAAAATCCCCTACATTCCTTGACACTTTCTCCAAAATTGGCTATGGCTATTGAAAACCCCTCGAAAAAAAAGACAGAGAATCATCCTGTTTGATGAAGGAAAAGAAAAGTAAGTAAGCACATGGATAGAAATTAATCTCAATGCCCATCATGTTCTACCCACTCCACATAAGTTCCTTCATCTTAGGACTAAAAGTACTATACACATGCCGGACAACGTCCATCCTCTCTCCTCACAATGATTAAATACATTTCTAATAAAAATGATTCACATCGTCCTCATTCAATTCTTCTATCTGTCCATCCATCGATTCCATTCACCCCATATAAGATTTTCTATGAAATCTTTAGACATATACACAAAAAAAATCGTGAGGAGATGAGAGGGAGGATGAGCACAAATAGAGGGTCAAAAATATTTTCTTCCTTTCCGCTCATTTTTCTTTTCTTTTTTTCTGTTCAGATACTGACTTGATACATTTTACTTTTATTATTGTCCTGTCCATCACAATCGACTTTCATCCGTTTCGTATTTCCACCACCAACAACAACAACATCACCATCATCATCATTTTGTTGTACTTCTTTACATCCCACACTAAAATCCTCATTCACATCTATGTCATTCAGCATATTGATATTCCTTTTGCGTTCAATTTTATTATTTGTATTGGAAGCATTTATTGGATGTGAACTTTCATCATCAATCGACAATTTTCTGTTTCTATAGTCAGAATGGCCACTAAACAAACCATCCGATACATCATAACGATTGCAATGATTTATTTTATTATCACAATTAAGTAACGAAATTTCTGTTTGTTGTTGTTTCCGCTGCTGATTTCCTGACTTTTCTAATAATGATTTATTGCCATTGTTTTGACACGTGGGATTTTCACTCTTTAATTTTTGTGAATTTCTTGAAATTTTTATAGCATGACGCGACGATGAATTTTTATTTGTGCAATTTTCATTCATCACTTCGTCACGTTAGTCTGTGATTATTTTATTGAGTCTTTGTGGACTTGTATTATTTATTGTTTATTGTTGGATTGTTTATGACTTCTTGTTGATGGTTTCTGCTACTTTTTGTTTTTATGAACCTTTCTATTTTGTTCTGTAAACTTTTTGTTTATTTTTCAATTTTTCTTGAGTTTGTTTTTTTGTAGTTTAGCTTCGGCTGAAGTTTGATATCAATTTGCAACTAAGATTAATATTTTGATTGTTTTATGTAGGTTTATATGATATAGTTTGTATTGATTTGAATTTTTATATTTAATTAAATTGTTGATTTTGATTCTTGTTTTGAATTCTAGGAACTTTTCACTTAAAGAACTGTGATAAAAATCTCGTTTGGTTGCAAAATGATTAGACTTTAATAAATTTATGTTTCTTAATGTCTTTAAGAAAAGATTCTCGGAAGTTTGAAATTTTGATTTGTTTTGGAATTTGAACAGTTTTTTTGTTAAGATTTCAAAATCTTTTAAAGTTTTAATTGTAAAATTAAATTTGTTTAATGTTCAAAACGTTTCGAACTTTTCTGATTTTAACTTTTAATCAATTTAATGTTTTTCAAATTTTTAACACAATTTCGAACACAAATTTCAGGTTTTGAATAATCAAAAGTTAAGTGTTCAAAAAATTCATTTTTATTATTAAGTATTAAGTCTTAAATCCAATTTACAGCGCTGCTAAATGTCATAAATTATTTCTTTCACTGTATTAACTATGTAGCTATGGAAGCTTTAATATCATTTATGTTTTTTTCATTGATCAATGATTAAATCACAAATATTTTCAAATTTAACATTTTTTATCAATCTTTTCAACGAACTCTAGTGCATCACATCCACTTAGTCCTTTGATATTTCGCCCGCATTACTTTTCACAGCACAATTTAAAATTAAAATCCTCAGTAGAGTCACATTCCTTATCTGTCCACATAAAAACAAGCAAATTAATAAAAATTCCGATACTGTAATTTCAAATTCAATAATAAAAAAAAAAGGCGAGCACTGTTCACATTGCGAGAGTCAATGTCTTAATGAACAAGAAAAAAAATCTCATGTCGACATTTCATTGAATAAAAAAATCTCATTTAAAAATTTTTTTCAGTTTGTTTCTTTTCTGCAGCCAAAGAAAAATTTACATTTTTTTTCTTTCAAACTATATTATCGTATAATAGGCATGGCAATGGTATAGCATTTCCAAACATCCTTCTTTCCTCTTCTCCTTTTTTTAATTTTTTTCTAGCTTTCTTTCAAATGATCAAGAAAAATAAAATAGATGAAAAGAGAACGAGACGATGTGGTTGTTTGTGGAAGGGGCAAGGAAGGCAAGGCTATATTAAGAATATTGAATAAATCCCTTTCCTTATTTAGCAAATGAAACAAAAATTTACTTTTAATAAGCAAAGGAGAAAAAAAGAGGATTTCTTCATTAAGTTACAATCGAGTGTGAAGGGATGGATTCAATATTACACATATACACTCATGTGTATGGAAATAAAGTCTTAAGGAATGAAAAAATTTCTTCATGAAGAGGAGAAAAATGTAAATTATGTGTTACCCTCGGTATCTTTTAAGAGAGCGACAGAGCGACGAGAGTGGAAGGAATATTGTTATGCAAAGAATCTTAACAAGACGTTAAGACTTGCGAAAATGTTTATGCAGAGTTGGGCAAAGCTGTTAACCTTGAATTTTTTAAACAATTTTGGAAATTACTACAAAGTGAAATCAATTTTTAAGATTTGGTTCGTGAAAATTGGGGATTGATCTCTTATTAAGCTAATAGCTTGTGTATCGAACTTTAGTAAAGGCTGTAGAACTAATAAATCAGATTTTGATTATTTTGACAAGTTTCCACATCCTTGTGACTTATTGAAAGCCATCAACCATCAACCCCGATTCCAAAAGCCCAATCCTGCCAATTTCATTTGCATAAATAGACACAACGCAACATAGTCCCGAGTATGAGTAAACCATTCTCATTGTAATAAGCAGAAGAAGTGAATGAGGTTCTTTTGCGAAAAATCATATCGCACACAGTCATCGAGATTTAAGAGAATTCTTGTTCTAGGAAGAAATCAGTGGAGGGAATTAAAAGAAGGGAAAATGAAACAAGAAACATAAATTTTTCATTTCTCTGATAGAGAAAATATTTTATTTCTTTTTTTTTCGCAAGCATTAGTTGGGTTTGAGAATAGAAGATGCAGACGACAGTATCGTAAATTTGCATGGCATGAAGAAAATACATAGGAAACAACAGCAATTCAACCCATTGACTGCGTCTTGAATGTAAAGAATATGGAAATTTTTTTGCCTTTATCATTTACTTCCATTTTTTTTGCTCTTTCATGAAAATTGCTTCTTTCAACAAAAAAAGGGGGCAAAGAGTTGTTGGCAGTTGAGGAAAATATTGTTTAATAAAATCACGTCTAAAGATTTTTCAAGAGCAACAAGACTGCAGATAAGAATCTTTAGTGAAAACTTTAATTTATTGGATTTAATAGAAGGAACTGTTGATATAAGATTGCATTTACATGAAAATTGTACTTAAAATATGGAGTGATTTAAAGTTATCAAGCTTATGTGGGAAAGGGATAGCTTGGTGCATATGCACGATAACTTTAATAGTATGACGCATTGTCAGGCTTTGTGAAAATTCTGTAAGAGCTGTTAAAAATGGGACTAAAGGAGCTGCCAGTCAAATATCAAAAGAAAGAACAAATTATAGCTTTGGTTCTGAGCATTAAAACTATTGCTACCCACTTGGATACATGAATGTCTCTAAAATCTAATAAATACAACTAAACAGCCCAATGTCATTTGTTCATCAACAACCCAAAAAATCACCATCCCATTATCCACACAATCTAGTTCATTGAGTCCAAAAAAATTTTAATTTCTTCAAAAATCATGAATCAAAATGCATCAAAACTAATTCATAACAAATTTAAGAGTTCCACAATCATTCCCTTCTTTATGAATCATTATGAATCAGAACCGGTTTTATTCAATGAACAACAACAATAAAAATTGTACCACGTGCTGCACATAAAGTAATTTTACCATTCATTCAATCGCTCTTCTTTTTTAATTCCCGAGATTTATTTACGATGAATACGCACACAGACATTCGATTTTGTTAAGATTGTGTGGAGTTGGAGATGTTAAGTGCTTGAGATGATGAATGTAGCTTTTGGGTGGATTTGTTTTCAACATTTATGGATAGTAAGTATGGCGTAAGATGTAAATTTTGTTATTTTAATTCAAAAACTTCATTTTTAAGCCATATCAGCAACTTTATGGGCCAAATCTCCTTAAATAATATTTTTTCAATAAGTTCACAAGTGTTTTCATGTTAACAGCATAATTTTGGGTACCGTTCTCATCATCCCCCTTACAAGTAGTATTCACTCAATTCTCCTGAAGTGTTCAGCATCACATCACAAAAATGTGTGATGTTATCACCCACAAGTATCAACATTTTGTTTGAAAATATCAAAAGTATCAGTAAAGACACCTTTCAGTCTCCTTCTTGGAAGTTCCTCTCTTAAGAATCGGGTATTATTGTCAAAATATCAAAAGTTCTCGCTCCTTGGAGATTGAAACGATTCTTATTCTATTTTGGCAATAATACCTACACACGACACAAAAGGGCATATACATATACAAAGACATTCTACACGTCCTCATGGGTAGTTCTTTAAAAATCCCTTTTCACCCCTTAAATAAATGTGACTGTGGTGAAATGCCATCAATGAAAATAGGAAGCACACAATATGATTATTACCTTACCAACCCAAAAAACGCACAATATTGTCTACCTAGAAAAAAAATCACATTATACGCTCCTTTTTGGAAGTAATTGTATTCGTCGATTGCATAAAAATTGTTCCTTTTTTTAGTTCCTCAAGAGGCGTGTGCTATAAAAAATAGAAAAGATTGTACAACCAGAAAACCTTTAAATGAATTAAATTTTTTTTGCTGTCTTTTGTTTCGATTCTTGCCTTTTTTTACTTCCTTCTTTGCTACCTCTCTTCCTATTTGTAGCTGTAAATATGAAATATAAATGAAATGAAGTCAATCCAAACTCAAAAATGAAAGAAATTTGTTCTGTTCAAAGTTTGATGGGTTTGAGACTTTTTGTGCCTTTAAAATAAATACACTGCGGGCTGACATGTGCTTGCTTTTATTCCCACAGTGTTTGCTTATATGCTATGAGGAGAAAAAAGGAATCCATTGAGATGAAAGCTGAGCATTTTTAGCCACTTGACTCAAAAAGTTTCCTACTTCTTATTTTTATCTTACCTTACAGATGATGACTGATGGAAAAGTGATGATTTGAGAAGGGTTTTTTGGATGTGGTTTTGTCTGGATGTCTGTTATAGATGGATATGTCAATTTTTAATTGTTTTAAAGCTACGTTAGATTGCCATAAAGATTTTGGACCCGTAACAGTCCTACAATAATGAACAGGGATCATATTAAAGTCTGGTGCCTCAAATACAGGCTGATAGCTAGGCGTTTGGAGAATAAAACATCAAGCAAAGGCATTTGATTGCTCAATAACGCAATGATTGGGTATCAAAGCTTCCAATTTCAATATTGTAAATTCTTTGAGTCTCAAAACAAATGCGCTCCGTGACTTACTACACAAAAATCACTCTAACCTTATCTTTTTCAATATCTCAGCTAAACGTCTCAATTTCTTCGTATGTGGGCTCCTCTTACCGAATCCTACTTGAATAGATGCATAAAGAATGCTTGAACGAGAATTTCGAATGAATTCCCTGAAAGGATTTTTATGCATATTATGTATTAAACTTATATTCAACCTCTATAAGTCCCTCGAATTTTTTTTTTCTTCTACAGCTAAGCATCATCTCCTTAAGAGAAAAGAAGCCGCTTGCAACATTAGCATAAACGTTAGAAAACGATTTCAGCATAAAAATCATGTCGACAGATGTTATCAAGGTAGATAAAGGAATTCTCTTTAAAATTTAAATGACCATACATCCTTTTGTGTGAATTTCCACACAAATTTCCAGTTTAATTCTCTTTAACAAATAATAATATTTGTGTCTAAAAATGTTGCAGCAGAAAAAAAAAGTGGAACTGAAAAACAAGAAAATAAAATCCTTTATTCAAGCTGCAAAAGGTCCAGCAACGGTTAAACAGCTGAACATCTGATTGAATAAATTTTTTATGGTCAAGACTGAAAGAAACGGGTTTCAAATTGCAGCATACAGCATCTTCATAAGCAACCCCTCCTTTGTCTTTTGCTTATTTATTTCTCTTGACCACTTCTGTTTTGTTTGTTGACTCATTTGCATTATAAGAAGATTTTTATTTTCTCACTTTGATTATGTTGCAGAAGTGAGAACTAAACAAGTTAGGAATGTCATGCAGACAGATGATTAGAAAGAAATTTTTGGTAAGTTTTTTGGAATTTCAACAAGTTTGAAACTGGATTTTTTTTTAATCTTTCAGAAACAAAAGGGGAATTTTTTAATGATTTTAGAATTTATTTGAACATTATCTCTATTCTGGAATGAGAAGATGATAAAGTAACAGGCTGAGAACCAAGGGGGGTCTTGTGTGAATTTAAATTTTTTTTAAAAAATCAAATTTTCGAGAAAATTTTAATTTTCAAAAACGTTTTAATTAAGTTTTTAATTTTGAAAACTTTGAAAATTTTAAATGAAAAAAGATTTTTAAATTTTTAATAAAGTTTTAATAAATTTTTTTATTCCAAAATAATTTCTCTGAACCATAAAATCACGTACACAGTTTTCATTATCATCTATAATCCACACGTGCTATTGAATTTCTTTAAAATTGATTTTACCTTAATCATAATTTTACAATTTAATCTTTATCTGCAATCTGTCAAAATCAAGTTTCGAGTAAAGATTAATTTCGATTTCATTACGTACACCATTAACGGATTTTCGCAGTAGAATTATTAAATAATAAATTCCTTTTATCACTTTTTATGACTTAAATAAGATAACAGTAAGTAAACAAAAACCACCTTTTTTTTCATCATTTATAGAATCCAAGGCTGTGTCGACAATTTGGACACGCATGTTCCTGTCCTTGGCAGCTGCTGCAACAGTAAGGAATCAAGCAGCAACCTAGAACACCTCCAAGACAGCAAATAAGAATGGCAAAACCGTGAGTTTTTGCTATAGCTTTATCTGAAACATCCGTCATGATTTGAGCTTGACAAACTGGACATGTCATTGCTTGAGGGTTTGGTCCAAGTATTGGAGGTGCATTTACTATTGTTATTGCTGAAATTTTGTAAAATTATTAGTTTTTGAAGATACTTAAAATAATTTTAACCTTACAAGTAGGTTGGGTTGTTATTGGTGGTTGATATTGACTCATTTTTCGGTAGTTTTAGGAACTTTGTTCAAATTTGATAGCTTAGATGCTAAATAAATGATTTCAATTCAATCCTGATGCTTAATCAATTCAAACTTAATAATCTTAGCACTAAATCCAAGCAGATTCAGACAAATTTTGTTCTACCTTCCACGATTTTCGCTACTAGAATGTGATTTAATCAGCAAGCATCATAATTTTTATTCAATTTAATCGTTATCAATTTCGTTAAAAAAAAGTGACAAAAAATTTATGATAGCAGCTTTATGTCATTATATGTGGTGTAAATTTTATCTATAAATCGTAAAAAAAATATTTTTTGCACTTTTCTGATAAATTTTCGGAAGATAAAAAAGCGCTGGGGTGCAGTCAGGGTGGGGTTCATTTGAATAAGAATTCTTCATTTATAATACAAAAAAAATCCCCCCATCCCTCTCGTGCTTATAAATGTCTGGATACGCTGCTGAGAGAACTAAACCGAAAGTTTAATAATTAAAGCGTGAGTGAAATTGATTATAAAATATGAATCATAGGGGCTTTTGTGATTTTAAAATAGACTAGCTTGAGTTTGTTGACGTAGTTTTGATCATGATTAGACTTTTCAGCTTTTCGTTGGAATTTGGACACATTAACTTCCCTTAAGACCCCAAAACTATTGTAAACATTTAAAAATTATCACCAAACCTCAAATAATTAAATGCCAAATCTCTAAAATACTTCACCAAAGCAGATAATCAACCGACTAATGTCGTAAAACGTTACAAAAATTCCAATCATTACAAAACTCCTAGCATTCTTAAAGTTCCTAATGACCATAAAATTTACATAACAGTTTCACAAAAAAATAACAATTTTATTACATACCTCAATTTTCTCATAATTTTTCCACATTCACGTTGCAAAACCTCTTTTTACCCTCTCATCATCATCTTTATGATCATCATCGTCCATAATCTTCACATACCAGAACGTTATTGACCTTTCATCTCTTCTAAAAATATTCGTTATTTTTTTCTTACTCTTTTCTTTGCTCATCTAACGTCTGGAAAATCAAGATTTATTTAAATGGACATTCATCCATTCAGCAACAGACTCTCTCACAGAAAAAAAATCATCATGATTTAAATGGACCAAAAATATTTTCTACCCCTTTTACTTCTCATCCATTTAATGTCCTCCATTATAATCATTTTCTCGTTTCTTATTTTCTTATGCTGCTTGTCATAACTGACCATACCATAATAACGACAGATTTAAAAAAAATAATGAATGTGTGTCATGATGCAATCAAGTTTTTGTGGGGAGATGAAAATTGTGAATTGTCTTTTTTCCTCATTATTTTGTAGTTTTGTCCTTGAAAATTTGTGAACGAGAAGGAATTTTTTTAATGAATTTAAAAAAGGAACTTGGGATGATCTTTTAGAATACATTTGTGATTTCTCTATTTGTGGCTTATAAATAAGCCTTTATTAATAAAATGAAAATTGAAAAATAATTAATCATAGCAATTAATGAGAAATGTTACATAAAAGATCAGTTGACAAAATCGTATTGAAACGAAAAGTTGTGTTTGAATTTGATGCAATAAAAAATTGGATATCTCAACAGAATAGTTGAAAATCAAGACTTTGATTTGCTAATCTGCATGAAAAAGTTATTTCAATCAAATGGTTGTCGTGAAACAAAACATTTTGGTATTTGGATTGATTTATTAATTTGAACCTTATTTTCATTTGCAGCCAATTGCTTGCTTTTTAGTGGACATTTCACACATTTTAAACTTAAGTATCTGTTTCCTTTGTACAGAACATGAAGAAAAGAATAAGGAATTCGTGGAATGAACAAAATTATTGAACTAGTTCCAAACGTCAATGAATCTTGAAAGTTTTCACATTTTTAAAACAAATTTATTCCCGAAATATTGTAAATAGAACAAATAATATCTCAATTGGAAAGGGGGTTTTGATGCTGCATGAAACGTCTTCAGTGATTAAAATTTATACATGAACATTTGATAACATTTTTGTATTTTAGATTTTGATAAAGAATCAATTTACGACCGCAGAATGAAGAATTAAAATTACAAATTTAATGTAACGTTTCCAAATAATTCAAATTTACTTGCATGCAAACCATTCACAAGTCTTGAACAAGAAACTTGTACAATAAATTTGAACAACTATTTTGCTTTCAAGAATGTATCTCAAGATGCCATTTAATCAAGCAATTCATGACTATGTCAGTTAAAAATAGAAGTGATCTTCATGTGCGCTCAAGGTCATTCGATTATGGAATATTTTATAACGTTATTCTTTAAAGATAAAAGCAATATTTTTCAATTCATTTTTTTATGATTTTATAGGTCATGCAGGTTGGTATAGGAACTATGAGATCAGATAATTACATCTCTTAAGATCGAGATTAAGAACTCAAGAGAAAAGGTTTTTTTTGTCAATTCAAACAAGGAACTACTAGATTTGTTTGAAAGGAAGACAGAAATAAAATAAAAATAATAATCTTGGTCTCAGTCTTGACATCAGTAACCCTAAATTATAACGAAGTAGCGCAGCAGTTGGATAATTCATCAATTCTTATAAGATAAAAAATTCTCAAACAGCAAAATTTCCAATTGAATTCCTCAAAATCATCTCAATAAGAATTACAAAACAAACGGCCACTTCCAAAAAATGGACTTCTCAGAAGCACAAGTGAAGTGGAACGAAAAGTGGTAGAAAAAAATTCCTATTTGTGTTCAATTCCTTAAAATAACAATCCTTAAATTAATCATCAAAAAATGTTATTTTTAAAAGTAGGAAAAGAATTGTGCATTTAAACTGAGTCGCACATTTTTGCATTCAAAAACGTTAAATGTGACGGCGAACAAGATTCTCTTCTGTTATGAAAAGGTGCAATCTGATGAGAACGATCATGTTTACATCTTTAATGTTATTTTGACGTGAGTTCAGACTCTTAATTCAATTTAAATTCCATCCACAATTAAATTCAAAGAATTTGTGTTAAAAAAATCTTTTCATGATTCATTCATAAATTATGACTTTTTTGAGGATTGGCTGGAGATTTAAGACTTAAAAAGTTCTCAGAGAATATAAATTTTTATGTCTTTCTCTTCTCTCTTGTAAAGTGCTTTTTGCCTCCTTTTTTGTTATTTTCTCATTGTTGTTATGAATATTTACGGTGAGAAAATGAAAGAATATTTATTAAGTTTGTGGATAAATTAGTTAAATTGGGTAAGAAATGAGTTTTGAGGTACTTTTAAGAAATTGAATTTGAAAGCGCACAATTGAGTAGATTTGATCTGTCTGGTGGTTTCAATCTGAAGCATAAAAAACGTGGTAAAAACTGAAGTAATTTTTTTTTTGAAAATCTTACAATCATTTTTATTTAACATTATCATAAAGATTTAAAGTTACAAAAATAAAAAATTCTAATTACAGAAACAGAATTACGAGTTCAAATCTCAATTTTAAGAAAATAAGTTAGAAATAGAAAGAAAGAAACACTTTTTTTATTTTTTAAATTTAATGTTTATTTTGACTAATTCTCACTATTTTTCACCCTTTCAATGAACGCAAAACTAAAACGCCATTCTGCAATAAATTTGATATTTTGTCTCAATAATTCTCCTCACCCTACCCTCTAGCTATGCAGGATTTTCTTCCCTACTAGATATGACTAATCTTTCTTTATTTCAAATTTGGAATTATTGTAGTTTAAGTTACATTTCTTTGAGTCTTATTTTGACACCAGCCTGAATATGGCTTTAATTCAATTATATCTTGATTAATTATTAATTTTGATGAATGAGATTTACATATATCATGAAAATGTGGCATAAAAACTACTAGATATGAGACAGGTTACTAAGACTACCCGCGACAGATTAAAGTAGAAATGAAATTCAAAGAACTTCTATATGGGGTTTAATAAAATCAATTAAGAGTCGGTTCCTGCGCTAAAATTTGAATAATTATCGCATGCTACGGACACGTTGAAAAATCCGTTAATTTTTGCTTTGAATTTCAAAAAACCGTAAAATTTTCATGAATATTTCTTGCAAACACTGGCAAAAACAAGGCTTGGGCAAACGATTCTTATTCTTAGCTTCGTGTTTAGCTAAAATCATCCAAGAAAAATACTAGAAATCAAATATTAATGCTTAAAATCTTAAAATTGACAAATTTATAACGGTTTTAAAATATTCAAACTATATGTCGACTAAATTTGAAACTGAATTGTCCGTAGCATGAATTATCGTAAGGAACTATATAATCAAATCTAGAATAATGTTTATCCTCTCGTTTAAGACAAAATGCCCAATATACAAAAACAAAAATTCCAAAAGCAACATAAACAAGCCAAAGCTTCTCAAAATGTTTCTCATCGCGCGCTCATTCTCTCCACAAACTCAATGTTATTCTCTCCTTCCTCCGCACGCTTTTGTCCGTTTTTTTTTTCGCTTGCCATAACGACTTTCAGTGCTTGGTCTCGCGTCTTTGAATTAACAACTTTATAAAGAAAACAGAACAACAAATTCTTCGTTTAACTTTGTTGTATTTTTTTAAATATTGTTTGAAAAGAATAATGTGAAAGAGATATGAGGAAAGAAGAAGAATTTCGCTAAGATTCTGTTGCTCCTTCATTCGACAATACAAAAAAAAAAGAAAACCTGAATTGAAATTGAAAAAAAAAATTCTAGACATCGTACACGACCTCATTTTCCTCCACTGATAAATAAAATAACAATACGAAAAAATACGGTGTTGCTGCAAAGTTGTAAAGGACTTTAATGAATGTGAGAGGCATAAAAGAATGTTTGCAATTGTTAAAGAATAAATCAATGTACATGATACATAAAGTGAGTGTATTCAGCCAACATAGGAGTGAAATTGGATATGTACGTACAGTTCTCAAGTGTAATTAACTTAAGCAAAAAAAATAATAATAAGAACATGAATTGAAAGTAAGAGAAAAACTCACACGTTCCCACACTCAATTGTATGTATCGTTAATATTTAAGCGACTCTGAATGGGAAAAAAAATAAAATTCAAGACGCTAAAGTTTAAAAAAACAGCATAAAGAAATTTCTTAACGGGAAACTTCGTCAAGCTTAAAGAAGATCACATATTCATACAATCTATGCCCCTTTGGAAATTGGACTTGCATAAATTAATTCTTACGCATATTTATCCAAGATTTTTCAGCCACGAATGTGAATTTCAATCAAGGAAAGAAGAAGAATCCAAAAAAAAAAGTCAAAGCAAAAATACTCTTTTATGTTGGTGCTGCGGCTGCTGTTTAACTGTTTTTCTGTTCAAATCGACGAATATTTTTATTGTGTTATGCTCAAAAGGTTCTGGACGACGCAGTGAAAATATAAGAAAGAGAGAAGAAAAGAGTTGATTTGTTGTGGATGGCATGAAGCAAGAAAGAATAACGAGAAACCCGAAATACCGGTTTTAATCATCAATAGGCAAAAGGCACTGTGTGGAATTTATTACAGGAATTTAATAATTATTTAAGCGGACATCCTTTCATTCGGAGTGATAAATTTTCATTTTTTTGAATGAACGGGAGATGCACTGGATTGATAATTTATTTAACATAATACTGAGCAGCAAGGCAAGGTGTTAAATGTGCAAAACATAATAGAAAAACGTAAAAAGTTCAGTGAACAATAAAATGGTATGTTAAGTATGCTTGGCATCTACATCCATTGATGAATCATTAAAATAAATTGAAAATTATGTGGAAATGGAAATGGATATAAATTGTTACAGCATGTGAAATTTATGAGGGGTACTAGTGATGATTAGTGACCAGTTTGATGGATTTATTGAAAAAAAAATTTATGAGGCATATTTTGGAGAATCTAATTAGTGGCTTAAAAAGCAGTTCATAATCAAAAGTTTAAGGAATTTTCATGCAAATTAGTTTTTGGCGGGAAGAATTCAATCAATTTACAATAAGATAACACTTAATATAAGATCCAGCACACAAACATCAGAAACTATAAGAAATCAAGCATATTAAATATTTAACGCATGGTTGGTGCTTAAAATAAATAAAAATTGAGTGCTATTGAAAAATGAATGAACTATAAATGAAAGAAGGAAAAAATCACGTACAGTTGTGCATTTCACATTGGAATGCTAATTAATACTAATTCATAATTCAATTATCTGAATGAGATTTGACATTACGGTGAATTTTAAGAGAGAAAATAAAAAGTGAAAATAAATGTTAAAGCACATCCAAATTCCATCGTCATCATCGGCTGTCGGTACACCAACAACAGCCACAACATACGCACAGACAACAAGTACAAGATCACGTCCACCACCGCCACTTATAAATCTTAATCGATCACAACAGCCGTTAAATGTTTCGACTTTAACGACTGCATCAAACATCACATCTAATGGCGGTCCATCGCTTCTACAAACATACTCAAATACACATCAGACACCGCTGTTGACACATTCTTATCCTGAAACACATCCAAAGCCATTACAAAATGGTCATGCACCTCGAATGTTTACACCTTTACCGACATTTTCGACAAATAGTCAACAGCATTTACTTAAAAGCTATGGCAGTAACCCTAATAGTAATATTAATAATACAAGTAATTCATCAACATCGACATCATCTTCAAAGATCATCAAACCTGAAAGTAATGGAGCACGAGAAGCTCTTACGAGTTTAGGACTGTTATGTTTAGGTAAATACTTTATAAAGACTAAGGTGTAGCTTAGAATTTGAGTAGACATGACTACAATTCAAAAACTTTACATTTTTCATTTCAGTTTCACTTCTTCTTGCCTTATTATCGTTAATATTTCTATTAAAAATTTCACCTGGTACAAAACATTTTCACAATCCTCAACAAAATTTGTTGGGCACATCTGTGGAAGAATACGCTATAGTATTTGATGTTACATTGGCTCTCTGTGCACTGTCATTATCGTTGAATTTGTGCTGTTTACTTGTGTGCGCCATTCAGTTCCTTTTTGCTGTTAAACTTGTTGGCGCGACACCTGCTGTCGGAAGGTATGTTATGGTTACTATATATTTACTTTTTTTTATCCTCCCTTTCGTATAGTTTGCGTGTGGTATATAAAGTGCTTTTTTGGATGCATTTTTACTTTGTCTTATCGACGAACCCTTCTCAAGACTTTAAAGAACTCTTTTTTTTTTGTTGAAATTTCTGTGAATCAGTTTTTTTATGTCTTAATTTCTTTGTCGGTGGGATCAAGTCAAGAATTTTTCATCCTTACAAAAGCAGGAATGCAAGATTAATCTTTTCTTGAGCATGTTTGACCTATTTCCAAATAACTGACAAGAAATGACCATAAAACATTAAAGTTCTTTGGTTCACACTGACACAGAGATGATTTTACACTATAAATGTTGATGATGAAATTATTAATGAAGGAGATATTAAGTTTTATCGTTTGGATCTAGCTGTGCTTTTTGGTCATCAAAATATTTTCGAAAATTTTGATTTTCGGCTGGAGATGAGAAGCATGAGTGGATGTTTCGCAACGTAACTTGATTTATAGAACAAAAGAAAAAAGCCAGCCTAGGCAGAGATCGTTCATAAATGACGTCCAAATAAATTTGTTCATTTTTCAAAATCAAACAATAGAATTCCAAGATATTCCCGATCGGCGCACATGAAATTCATTGGAATTTTATCAAGCCGGGTTGATAGTGCAATTAGAACCAATTGGAAATGACAGCTACGTGGCAACCACTTGGCATACAGTTGGAAATAGGTCCCAAGCGGATTGGTTCTAATCATACTTTCAACTCTGCTGTCGGGTGGAAAGCATTTCAATTTGTGCCGATCGGGATTCTATTGTTCTAAAGCTCTCCTCTCCTAGGGAAATGACGTCATTTATAAACAACTCTTAATCACTTATTACGGATCAGAGGGAGGGGCTAGAACAACTAAAACAATAGAATTTCTAAAAAACGCTTGACGTTTTATTTAAGAACTTCCAAGAACTTTTATTTCCCAATTTATAAACAGCTTTCCTAAATATTCATAAAAACATTTCAATGAAGCATCATTCTACACACTCAATAAAATCAATTTACAAACCATTTCCAACAAAAATTACAAAAATATTAAATCTCAATGAATCTCATTATTTCCTTCATTTCCCCATAAAATACTAATAACAATTTAAAATTGATTAAGATTTACTTCGTTTCTGCTACAAAGAAAAGAGTTTGGTAATAAAAATTGAGCATCATTAAGGTAGAGCTAAGCAATGGCTTGTAATCTGAGAGCTAGGCACCATGTCGATTTTCAGATTTTTGACATTTTATTCTTCGCGAAAAATGAAGAATTTCTGTATTTTAAGACAGATTATCAGCATAGAAATTTTTTTGTTGTTGAGTCATACTTTTGATGGAGTGAAGACGGTTCTCATGGGAATTCTGAAGCTATGCTTAAATTTTGAGATTTATTTTATTCTGAGGAGGGGAGAAAGGTTGAATCTAGGGTTGTTTGTTCGGATTTCACTGTAAACTGTAAGTTTAAAGGGTGTGGTACAATAGATTCTCAAAAGGCTGGGCCCTATTCATGCTTTTTTAAGGGTTGTTGAGCTTGCTGTTAAAGATTAAGGGTGGAAGGAAGTGGCATTAGCTGACTCAACCCAAATTTTCTTTGATTCGCTAGATTTTTTGACAAAAAAACTTAAATATAAGGCTGTACACCCCTTGACATTGGTACGCTATAATTAACCAACCAAGAACCTACTCCTTAAGCCTCCAATTCCAACACTGAACCTAGGAGTGGTGAACAGAGCTATTACCGCTAAATTCGGAAAAATTTGAATATATTTTTAAAATTCACTAACACAAACATAAAGATTCGAATTTAAACATTGAAAATGTTTCATTGAAATTTGACTTAATTTCAACTAATTTTGTGTACAGGACATGATAATTTGCTTAATGCAGCTTTAGTAATGATTAATGGATGCTTTAAACAAGCTTTAAAGTATGATTTAATGGATAAATTGCAAACAAATTCAAAAGTACAATTTTGTTTGTGTTAGTGTACCTTATGTTTCGAAATTCAAAATTTAAAAATTAACGGTAAAATAAGGTACCTTTCGAAATTCGTAATCGAAAAATAAGGACCGTTCGCCACCCCTGGCACTGAATAATAGGTAGCAATGAACTCATTTAATTTATAATGAATCTCAAGTTGAGGCTTAAAATTTTCGTCGAAACCTTTTTGTCTGATTTTTTGCTATAGCTAATAAGTTAATCAGATTATGAATATTGTATTACAAACAAACGCGAGTACCTTAGATATTCCAATAGTGTACGCCACATTGTGATAATACGTGGCTGTACCGTTGTAAATATTAAATACGATGTGCTGTAATTTCTTTTGCCATATTTGAAATCTTTTATAAAATGTAATTTCCTGAATAATTTTCAATGAATATGGAAAATAAAATTGTGTAACATTGAATTTGCTCTTTTTAATGACACAAAATGTTAAGTGACGTGCAACCTTGCAACAATTTTTTTCTGCCTTCTTTCTCATCATTTTAATGAATTTAAAAATTGCTATAATTTAAAAAGTACGCTTTAAAAAATCTGAAAGTTTTAACAACTCAAGTGGAATCTTGAATTATGAGAAAAACTTAGTTTTTTGGATGTTTATGAAAATTAACAGACTTTTGTATTGAAAAAAGAATCATTTGGTTAACAATAAAGTTTTATTTCCTCGTTTGCTGTGTCATTTTTATAACAGACCTCCTGCCTGCTTCATTTATGACTCGAAAATGCATTGAATTAAGAAAGATTTGCAGCAGAAAAGTTCATGGGAAGAGATTTAAGTTTGAAAGTGAATTGGAAGAAATTTTGATCATTGTTCATTAGTTTTAAGAAGTTTTTAAGAGAAAATAGACACTGGGATGTTGATAGCGAAACGCTAACGAGAAGAATTGGTGCTTTGGTCTATCCTGGGACTATATCACATGATGCATCGTAGCACACAGTTGAAGAACAACTAAACTACATCCAAGCTCGTAAAATTCTTAAGATTCCAAAGAATTTCGGCTGACTCAATCAAATTAGTCAGTTTGGGAATTTTTTAATACGATAAATATCTTCAAAGATCTGTTTTAAAACATCTGGCATGAAATGAATATTATCTTTTGATACAAACTTACGAAATAATTAACAGCTAATTAGAAACTAGGACAGAGTAGGTAAATTGTGTTATCTAGCACGTTGATGAACTTAATTATGATCTACAAGCATCAAATATTAAGTCATGCTTGAAATGTTTGTGATCTGAAAATAATAAAACAAGTTTATCTTTATTCAGCTTTTTTAAATTATGTATGTACTTGACATAAAGCATTGTGACATGATCACACCCAAGCATATCAATCATTTGGTTAAGTTTAAAGAACAATTTTTAAAAGATTTGATTTTTGAATCTTAAATCTTGCAAAAATCTTTTTTAAAGTGTCATTTACGAATGATTTTTAATTAAAATATAAAATTAAGATCCAGATCTAACCTTCTTTGACTTAACATTTTAATACAAAGCTCTTTTTGATCTTCTTGCTCTATAAAAGTTGATTTGACCTATAACTGCTCTAGCTAAAATCAATAAATTAAGGCTCTCAACCAAATCATGTATTTTTACCATCAAAAGTCCATTGAGCTGAATCTCACTTTTCTTTTTGGTGTCAAATTAACGAAATATCCATTAATACATGAATATTACATTAAGCTTACAATTGGAATCGATATGACTACCTTACAATCAGAGCTCACACAAAAAAAAATTATTACAAATTAGAGGTCGAACAAAAATTTATTTTGCTTTGTCATTTATATTTTGAAAGAAACGAGTTAAGTAGGGTTTCTGAAGCCGTTAACGAAAAACGGAAAACGGCCGTTAACGGCACAAAAATTGAAAACGGAAAACGGCCGTTTTTCATTCCGTTTTTCCGTTTTCTCATAGTTCATACAATGTAATTTTAAAAATTTTTTTTGTTTATTTCTTTTAAAAATTATTCTCAAAAACAGTTAAAAGTTTTTGCAATTGAGATTTATTATTATGGATTGCCTGGAAAGTTTGAAAATCTCATTTCAAGTAGTATATTAGAATCAGAAATGTAATCATAGTTGCGAGTCCAGTTTTGTTTGTTGTTTAAATACAACAAATCAAAATCTGAACTCAAGAATTTACAACGGGTTTTTCATATTTGATTTTTATCAATTTTTATGAAAAATACAGGAAATCGATCGGAAAATCTTCAAAAACTTTATGATGCTTTGTTGTGTATTAAGCCGACTATTACAGATGTGGAGCGAATATTTTCAATCTGCAATAATTTTTGCACAAAGATTCGTTCAAGGCTGGCTGATGCATCACTAAATGCTCTTGTTTTTCTTAAGTTCTATTATAATAAAATGAATAAATAGTTATAATAAATATAAATAGAACTTAAGACTTTCTACATATTATCTATATAGAACAGCAATTCTTTATCTTTTGAGGAATATTTCATTTATATTTGGGTATTTAAAAAACTTAAAACGGCCCGTTAACGGCCGTTTTTGAAAATAAAAAACGGAAAACGGCCGTTTTCGAAAATGCCGTTTTTCAGAAACCCTAGAGTTAAGCTAAAAGACATTTTGCAATTTGTTCAATTTAATTACACGGCAAATTTCAATTGAGACAGTCGAGTTGTCAATTTGCAATAAATGTAAAGTTTAATAAGTGAGTTAATATGTTTCTTGATATTCTGAGGGAAGTTAAGGGGGTCTAGAGACGTATGTGAATCATTATGAGGGTTCCTCGTCCTACATCCTCAATGTAAATTAGTAGCATCACTTATTGTATGAAAGAGCATAATCAGCTTGAACATAATAGTCTTTAATCAATAAAACTTGATTTTCACGTCACTCATGAACAACCCCACACCAAATTACAAGCAAATGCACTATATTACCACACAACAAGCCATTCACTTCACAAATCGTTAATATTAATTGTGTGTTGTGTTTTGGTTCATCCGTGTCGTCATAGAGAAGTTCATTCATCCATGAATTTATAAATTATGAGCGGCTGAAGTATGTACATAAATTAATATAATATTTTTTTTTCTCATCCACTTTATTTTATGTCCATTTAGAGAGAACAAATATCTCCAGAAATCGAGTGTGTCTAGAGTTTGTGCGATAGGCGGCTTTTTTATTTCAATTCCTATATTTTTAACAGGTAAATTACTAGATTTTTTCTAATAATAGCAAGTTTAAAGCAACAATAAAATTGTCAAGGATTTTAACGCCCATGTTATCTCCCTTCCATTCAGGTATAATTCTCTACACTTTCACTCAGTTTCATTCAACGCCGGCGATAGTGACGAGTATTCTAATAGGAATAGGTATATTGTTTTGTGGTGGCGCCATGGTTCACAATGTCTTTATATGGCAAAAAGAAAAAACGACAGTTTATAATTGCATTAAACAGCAGCAGCATCAAATGCTCCAAATGCATCAGCAACACAATCCACAACACAATAGTTCAATTCATCATACGACACAGCCATCAATAATTTCGCGACAAACACCATTAAATTTATCATTGAATTCGCCAATAAGTACAATACATAATCCGATGACAAATAGCAGCACGCGCGATATCACATTGGATCAAATTAATAATCATAGTTATGTAAATGGTGGAGGACTTGCGCATATTAATACGACACTTAATAATACGCACTTATCATTATTAAGTCAAGCAGCTGTTACTCCAAACTCTTATTTTGGACTAAGAACTACACCACCGACACCGAAAAGTCAACAATTGCATAATGGATCGCCGAACACATCGACGACGTTAGATCAATCGAGTAATTTTAGAAACACTTCCGTCACAACTGCTCATGAATTATCGACGTTAGTTTAAGAAATAAGAATATGTAAATTTTACAATAAACAAAAATTGTTTTGTGGCTTGTCTGAAGCCGAAAGATAAATGAGACAGACAGTAAAAAGAATGAATGCAAAATTTTACCTAAAAAAGAATTTTTTTTTTATTATTTTTAAAATGACACAAAAAATTGAACAAAAAGAAGCAAATAATAAAATGCTAAAATCATTAACGTTTGTGCCTTAAATTAAATTTAGCTTTTGATGTATTTTCTGGCAAGATCAGATATCGCTTTCGCAAGGTCATTGGCAAGTCGATCGTCATTAAGTGTGCTGGAATTTTTCGACTTTTTTGGCGTTTCTTTCGTTGCATGTTCTTCATATGAATTATGATTTGTCTCATTATCTCCGGATCTGGCTGATGTTCGGTAGGATTTACGCGATTTGTCGTCGCTGACTGTTGATAATTTTGATGAACTTTTATCTTGTTCTCGAAGATATTCTTTAGCTTTAAGATACTGCTTCTCAAATTTTGAATTCTTAACTTTAAAGGAGGTTTCTGTTGACTCATCGGAATCTTCACTGACTGTGGATCGACGTGGAATCTCGTTTGTGAGATTTTTTCTTGATTTGCTTTGTTTATGTTTTCTGAGTTCATCGGATTGGTCAAAAATCGCGGGCTTAACATTTGACTTCTTCGTAAACTTTCGTGAAGACATTGAAGCCGTTGAGTCATCGTTAAATTTATTCTGTCGCACTGGAAATGAATTTTCTTCAGATTCCAAATCTTGAAAGAGCTGCTTCAGTTTTTCTATGAATTTCTCATGATTATCTACATCCTCATCTGATTCTTCTATTGTAATTGGTGTGGTTGTGGTAATTTTCTTTATAACTTTCTCTTCTTTTAGCTTTAAGTGCTCTTTTAAAACTCCCAGAATAAGTTCTTTTAAATCGTCTTCGCTGTCGATTTTCTCTCTATTTAATTTATTATTTTCTTTCGTTGTTGGTTTTTGTGTTATTTTCGATACATCCAATTCAATAGATTCAGATTCATTTGATTGCACGTTGTGTCTTTCGTTTCTTTTATTACCTGCCTCATTATTAAATTCCTCTAAACTCGACGGCGATGAGAGTTGCGGTGCTTTGCATGGAATTCGGTCCAAGAGCTTCTTTAACATGAATGCATATTGCTTGTGGAAACAAATGATGTCTTCGGGATGATCGATAGCGGATGCAATTTCAGTATCATTTCCTATTAAAATTGGGCTGTCTTCAAATGCACGTCCATCGGCACCATTGAGATCTTCATCTGATTCTTGTGGTGCTTCAGTCGTTGTACTGGTCGTAGTCGTTGTTGTAGTTTTGTGTTTCTTTTGACAGACACATTTTTTATAATCTTGAATTTGACTCCTAAGTGCCTCTTCAAATGCATTCAAAACATTTTTGTAGGTGTCTTTGTAGCATGACTTTTTATCTTCCTTTTGTTTATTTATCTCAACAATTTTGGCATCGTCAATGGACTCGGTTGACTCAAACGAGGAAGAACAAGAGGAAACGGTACTTCTCTTATTGTTTCTCGTCTCTTTATCATTAAAATCACTGAGGTATTTGGCTAGATTCTCTTTCGTCAACAAATCCATAAGCTTTTTATTCAATGCCTCTTCAGTCGATGCATTTTTGTCGTCCGTAATTCGATAATTCCATGATTTATTATTATTGTCTTTTGTTTGAATTTCGCTTTTTGGCCTGTAAGCAAGCATTACCGCTAAATTGCTGTTCTTGTCATTTCTACGAGATGGCTGTGCTGAATATGCCGCACTAATCACGAATAATACTAACGATGTGATTATCAGAACTTTCATTATGACTTAATTTTTTTATTTTACAGTTCTACACCTTTTTAATGAAGAGCACGAAATTGAATACTTGGATTTCAGATCTATGAGCTTTTTATATTCCAAAATTAATGTCTATGTCAGTCTAAATTCTTCACACGTTCATTTCAATGAGAATTTTGTTGTGTTTATCATTGAAGAGCAATTAGAGCTGTCATATGCAGAATACTTTTCGGCCAACGACTTAATGTCATTAAAAAAAATGCTGAAATTTATTTTTTCCCATTCGCATTTCCTTTACATTGGCTGTGTTTTACTTTATTGATCATTGCTTTCCCACCTGTTGATTCTCGTAAGAATTGGATTGATTATTATTTTTAACTGATTTTTAAAACATGAATTTTTGCTGAATACAGAAATTTCTTCTTGTCAGCTCTGAAAATTTCCAATCGATGAATAATTAATTAACATTGTTTGATGCTTGAATTCAGCTGGAGACGCTTGACAATTCATTAATTTCCATTACTCACCTTGTATTTCAATATTTCAAGCCACTTTTCATTCATAATTTTAAATAATTTGCAGAACATTATAGAATGCTCTTATTCAGCAGTTTTATGTACATTATCTAGATAATTTGTATCGTTGGCACGAAAATATTTTATTTAAAGTATTTTAAATGTAATTTAATAATAAATATCGACAATATGGGCTCATTTTTCAAGTACTTCACATTCTCAATATTCGTGGCTTTATTTGCAATCATATTACAAGCGTATTACGAGAGCGGAAATTTACAAGATGTGACATTAGTTTTGACTGATTTAGTGAAGTTAGAAAAATTTGAGAGAAAGGCAGTGCCTAGAATTGTGGTTGGTTATGGAAGCTGCAGTGACTTAATATTACATGCCGTTGAGTTTCTGAATTATTCAGAATCATATAAAGATTTCCAGAGAAGAAACGAAAATGACGACGAAATTAACAATTTAGAGGACTTTATGAGGAGCTTCCTGTATTATTTCCATAAAGGAGCTGCTGCAGAACGATATACGCCGAATAAGGAAGTGTTTTTGAATTTAGTGCAGCTAGCAAAGAAGCACAGTTCAAGTAGATGGGAATTAGGTGGTAAGTTTATCTGTTACGTGATTTATGACAGGAAATAAGCTATTCATAGATAACAGACAGTAATAAATAATTATTATTTTTAGGGAATGCACCGATTATGGCAACTCGATTGCTATTCGAAAAGACTGAAGTATTGTTGGCAGCAACAATGTCAGATAAACAAAAGACACATCTCATAAATGGCATCGACATTGTAGACTTCAAACCAACTGAAGATTTTGTCGATGACATTCATTTAATCTTAGAATATAAGACAGGTGACGAATTTGGTGATCATAAAGCACCACGAGCAAATCGATACATTCTTCATTCAGATGAAAATAATCCAATGTTAAAGTCACTTGATCTATTGGATGTGAACTCATTTAAGCCTGATTTATTCATTGTGTCGGGCCTGCACATGATGGATAGCTTTCCATACAAAGATCCATCAGTAAGAAGTCAACGACTTGAGAAAGCTAAGAAACAAATGACAACAGCTGATAAAAATACATTAATTCATTTCGAGATGGCCAGTTATGTGGAACTGGAACTAATGAATGATATAACAAAATATGTATTGCCTTACACTGATTCTATTGGCTGTAATGAACAAGAAATTAATAATTTAATGAATGTATTAAAAAGTGGACGAGTTAGTATTGTAGCTGATTCAAATCCTCGAGTAGCATCAACGTTGGATGAGATGAGAACTGTCTTTAAAATTCTCAATAAGAATTACTTCGATAATCGTGAGAAAGATACAGATTTAAGGATGTTATCACGTATTCACATCCACACATTAGCATTCCAATTGATTCTCAACGTAAAAGGCAGCAAGTGGAGGCGAATTAAGAATGCTGTAGCAAAATCCTCACTCATGGCTCATAGTCACGTTTGCCAGACATATTACGTAAATCCTGAAAATGCAATGCTCATTTTTGACGGTTCTTTTGCAACCTCTGCCGATCCCAAAGAGACTGAAGACATTAGACCTAAGCGTATTGAAGCAAATAAATCAAATCCAGGCGCAGCATGTTGGACAGAGACAATTTATGTCAGTTCCAATCCAATTGATGTTAAAATTTGCATAGCTCCAGTTTTAGTGTGTAAGGATGCTAAAAAGACTGTCGGTGCTGGTGATAATATCTCTGCTGTAGGTGTTGCGACGCAGATATAAAATTATTATTAAGTCTAAGCAGCGTTAAATGGAAATTTAAGATGCCTTGCTTTTACATTGAACTTTTTCAAGCTTCTGTTTTGTGTTGCTTGGACTGAAATGTTGTCAGAATTTGGGATTTTTTGTGATCTTTTGAGATGTAAGATTAGTGATTTGATAAGGACAGTTACAATGTTACTAAGCCCGTAAGAGTAAGTCATCTAGTGTTCATTTCAATCTATTCCTCAGGATAGTGTAGTGTTCAATGAGTAGAAACCCTAGTCAACATGGCTACCTCAACTACAGCCTGTTTATTATGATTTTATTATAATCACCCTCAGAATTAGATTCCTTACGTATACCGATACATACGTAAAAATGTGGGCATTATTTATTTAAATTTCTTGAAACCGTTAATTTTCAAAAATTTTGCTTCCGTTATTTCGATCATCTTTTACAACTCCTATAGTTAGTCTAAAGACTGTGCTTCTATAGATGTCACATTATTTTAGACAATTTTGAGGATCTACACATTCCAAAAGTGTAACTAGGTCACAAAAGTATCAAAAATTCCAAATCAGAAAACAAAAATTTCCCATTTAGCTATTAATTACATTCCTCAGCCTCTATGGGCATTAATAATTAAATATTTAACACTATAATCCTCTTGACAATTGAACAAAACATTCCTCGTCGATTAAATGACTAAACTTTATGTACTTTTTTTTAATCACGAAGATTACCATTTAATTAATAATAATACTACATTAAACTTTTAAATCTATCTCTGTGTCATGTTTGTTGGTAAATAAAGGATATAAAGGTTCTTTTTTACAATTTTGAGAAATTAATTCGAAAAAATTTATTTTCTTAACTTTCTCAACCTTAATTAAGGAAATTTACACACACAATCACTGAATTGAGTAGAAAAAAATGAAAAATTGTATTTTACAGACCTGGCATTATATAATGGATATTGTCCATAACGCTTTGAAATAAATTTTTCGGTTCCTCATCAGAATTTGGATCGTCAGAGGTGATTAGAGGCGGATTATGTTGAAAATTTAATTCCGGAACGTAATTTAAGCAGCACATTAAAGCGCCCATTGCACAAAGGATACTATCAAGTAGCACACTAAAGCTTCCCGATACTGCGATTTGGCCCTAAAATAATTTTTCAATTTTGATTGTTTTGATTGGCTTTAAAAATTCAAGAATTTTACCTCATGCTGACTTAGTCGCTCGCCAATATTAATTAGACTCTCTCCTAAAAGCTTCAAATGAGCTGCAACATCGATTGGCGCTAAATCCATTGGACGATTAATTTGAATTTGTTGCCGATGATGATGCGACGATGTTGATGGCACTAAAGCATTCGATTTGATACTTGAAATTGTTATGGCCGTTGACGGACTAATGAATTTTTCTTTTTGAAGTTTTTGTGCATTTTGGATTGATTGAGTTTTTGACTTTTCAGATTTGAGCAGTTTTTGAAGCTGTTTCTGTTGTTTTGTTAACGTGACATTTTGCATTTGTGTTTGTCCAATATTATTTGTACTGTTCTTATTAAGGTAATATTTCTGCTGCATATATTTACTAGGTTGTATTGGACCTCCTTTAGCTCCATTTGACTTTTTCATCTTATTTGCCAGCCTCTTTGCCCTCCTTTTCCAATTATATTTGACATTCGTTGGAACATTCGCCCACATTTCACCTAATCGCTTCGAGACACTCGCAAAATCAAGTTCTGGATGTGATATTGAGATCTGTTGTCTTGCATCTTTCGCCCATAACATATATGCTGTGTACCTTGTCTTTCCTTTATCCTTCCTTTGTGCTTTTGTCATTACAATCTTGCCGTCCTTAATGATTTTCTTTTTTGATGACTTCTCTGTAATGTAAATACTTCGTCGTGGTGTATTAAACTCAATCTCTGGATCATCTTCAGTCTTAATAACCATTTGACGTTCATCCGAGTCTGTTTCATTAAATTCTTCATCGTCTGGCTCCAAATCATCGTGATCTGGTGTGAAATTGTCGTCATGATCTTTAAGTGATGGATATTCTTCGTAGTGGTCTGTGAAGTGCTTTTCCTGCGACATATCAAAGATTTGCAATTCAGGTTCCAGTTTTATATGTGATAGTTGAGCCTGTAAAAATCCCTCTGTCAGGATTCGTGCTCAATACGATGATGTAAATGTATTTAACTTACCATATGAAGTTTCCTTGATGCTGCTGCCATTTTCTTCGCCTTTATTCGCTCAATATCATCTGGCGATGTGAAATCCATTAATTTTGTACTTTTCTTTATCACTCTACCGCTTCGACTAGTCACACCTGATATGTCGCCTTCTAAAAAAGTCAATTTAAACATTGTTGTTAAAGCTCACTGGATCTTATTAGAATTTGTTTTTAAGCTTCAAATTCTGGATTTTCTAAATTTTTATACAATTTTCACCTACCACAAGACGGTTTTGGACTATCCATTTTCGTGCAATGCGTTGATAACGACGTGAATTAATTTAATTAACACTTTTCATTCACTATTCTCTTAATATGAATTAATTAAAAGATGTTTTTTACAGTTTTTTATGTTTTTCAAAATATAAACAACGAATTAGTGCTGCATTGACATGGATTATTTGTGGGTATTTTCAGGCTGGGTATTTTTTTCTTGGAATTTGAGTTTTAAAACTCATTTTAAGTAATTTCTGTAGCCAGCTTTCATCCTCAGTTATCCAAACTTTATGAGAACGCTTTAAATATTGTTAATTGCATGCTGTAACATTTTCATAATCTCAACTGTCTCCAATTCGAAAGTAGCATAACGATCGTTTATAATTCAAACATGAGCTGGGCTTAAAATCATATTCAGATTGCCCAATTCCCAGCTCTTTCTTTTCTTTCGCGTTTTCTAAAATCAAGGAACGTGTTAATAATAATTTAGCAGAAATTAAAGAATTCATTTGATTCTGGTGAGTAAATAGCATTAATTAATGTAGATTTGATGATTATCTATCTGTGTAATATGAAGTTTAATAGAAATATTGTCTAATTTTAGCAAAAATGCCACAAGAAATTAAGGAGGTAAAAGATTTTCTTATCAAGGCACGTAGAAAGGATGCCCGTGCTGTTAAAATAAAGAAGAATGAAAATAACACTAAATTCAAGATTCGCTGCTCACGTTATCTCTACACATTGGTCGTATTCGATAAGGAGAAGGCAGATAAATTGAAGCAATCACTTCCTCCAGGTCTTCAAGTTAAGGAAGTCAAGTAAAATGGCAAACATCAATAAATTGATTTTTACTTCATTTGAACGATTGTCATCTCGTTCGGTTGGATGAAAGAATGATTTCATTACTGTCAACATTCGTTTTATAAAAAGAAATAAAACAACATCCATTAAAAGTGAAATGTAAACAAGTGTTAACCTTAAATTTGTATGTGATCCAGAACATTATTTTTCAGTTTTGCTGTTTCTGGTTGTTTTACAGTGAATTGTGGATTGTCAGGAAGTTTTGAGCATCTTTTGCTTGTTGTTTGTAGAATTATTACGAAAGTGTCGGTGAAATTTGATGAAAACAAGTTTTAATCTTCAATTTTTAAATCCTGCGATTTATTTTAATCCAACTTGAGCTGATTCAAATTTTAAGCTACAGTTATTGCTATTAGAATGAATAACTTCGTCAAATAATAATGGCTTTTCCTTGCGAGTAATAAATAATAATAATAAATTAACACTTAATGATAACTTAGATAAATTAATGATACATCAAAAACAATATAAATTGATATCATAATTTAATGACTGACTACTAAATGAGTAGCTTATGATGTTATTTGGGACTTTGGGATGTTTAGAGCTGTTCTCTACGTTTACAGCTCTAATGAGATATTTATAAATGGATTTGAATCTATGACATACTTTAAAATGTAATGTAGCATAAAATAGTGTCAGTATTTAAATCACGAGAATAGAGAACATACTATTTTTGATGCTTTTGCTAACTGAATTTGTTCAGCCGACAGTAACTAGGTACATATCCCATGCCATTAAAAGAGTGGTTGTTTCAGACACACATAAAGTAAGTCAAACTTTTACGATGAATAATTAACAAACTTCGCTTTTATACATCCATTAAGATGCATGCACGATGATATTTGATTCTTGTTTTAACTTGTTTTGGTTTTGTGTGTTTTATAAACAACTTAATTGACCAACGCAAATGCTGTCGTCCAAAGATCGCTGATTAATTATTTATTTGTGAATCTTTGGATCTTGTAGATCTTCACAACTGAAATTGAAGGAAAAATCTAAAGGGGTTTTAACAGACATCTTATATCTTGGTCAAAAACCTAATAATGCTAGACAATTAAAATGAATTACATGATGAATCCTGATAAATATTCAAGTCTACCGTCAGAAAAGCATAGCCATTATAATAAAGACCTAAATCGCAAAAATGACTAAACTTACAAAAAGAAATTTCAATGTCTTAATATCCACGACTAATTTAATTTCTTTACAATTTAAGCTCTAAAAGACCGAAATTAAATGGGGAAAATACAGAAAGTAAGAATCACATGGAAAAACACACCAAAATCTAATTGACAACTAGCAGTGCTCTTGAAATTTAATTTTAGTCTGTCCTTATCGCGATAAAAAAGGATTAAAAGTGCTCAAAAATCCAGAATTTCCAAGTTTTGATGACATAAAAGAGGAGAGTATTAAAATAGCATACAATCGCGTACGACCAATTTTTTTAATGGGGTAGGTCATAAAATTTAAATCCAAAAACTCTAAATTTACTACCTAGATGATATTAATAAGGAACAAGTAGGTACTGAATTAAAAAGTCATACAGCTGCATAAAGTTTCATGATTAAAAGTCACAAGAATAACTTTAAATCCGATAAATATTGAAAGAATAAAGCACACACCACCTACTAAGTACACGGCATACGTCACATGTACATTCATAAAAAATGTGTAGAGCTTTAAAATGAGTAAAATTTTCACTCGTACCAAAACAAAACTCAGTATTTTCACAGCGCTTGAGCAGTAAGGTTGGTATAGAAAGAAACAAATTGGATATAAAAAATATTTTTCAGTCATCTTTCAACATTAAAGCATTTCTTTTCGGCAATAAACTCACATAATCGAGTTTCATTTTTGGAAAGTGAATTAAATTAAAATTCATATTGTGATAAACATTGTGAGTTGCTTGTGGCTAGATACCCGTCTTTAAATATACAATGTATGTAAATACACGATCAATAAATATAATCAGTCCACAATTTTATTTACATTAAAAGTTATCTTGTAATGACTCAAGGCCGCACTACTTACACAGTTGCTTCTGCCATAAAAACGATTTCACAGTATTTCGGATGTTATGTGTTGCATTAAAGTGATGATGCAATCTAGAGTCAAGAACTGTTTGACAGTTTATGCATTAAATATAGTGAGAAAAGGTGTAGATTTTAGAGGTTCGGTCGATGACACCAACAACTAGAATGTTTTATTTCGGTCAAACTCAAGGTTCAGGCAATTAAGCCTAGAACTGAATTCATCAGTAAACCATTTGTGCATAGATCTATTAATAGACATCACTTCCAAAAGACCCCCATGTTTGATAAATAATTATTAAATCATATTTACAGTTACAGCAAGTGAGAAATGACACAAAAATGTTAGCATGTGATATAAATAAAAAAAATTGCGCGTAGTGAACTTTGGAATCAAGTCATTATGATGATACAGAAGCTGTGTTACGGCACGTAAAGCCAATTTTTTGATGCTTTTATTTCTTTTTCAGACATACACACAAGAATATTCTTTTACACTTGAACAATGTCGGGATTTCGTGCATCAACCTCGGGCATAGCCGAGTACATCGATGCGCATCATGAAGAAGAGGTTTTACATTTAGTATGGGAATCAGGTCTTAATTCATGGAAGCATCGTTTTGCGCAGTTTAAGCGCAAAGTCCAAAATGGAGTTTATCCGGCTCATCTTGAGAGCCTTCTTGTCATTACCGTTCTTGTTATGGCGTTTCATTTTTCATCGACCAAAGTTCCTTATGATCTAATAAATACAGTCATATGGCTCTTGCCAAGGTAATTATAATTAGATAGTGTTAACTGATAAAAAGTAAAATTGAAACTTCTTGACTCATCCATGCAGCAATTTAATCGATTGGCAGATACTGCTATGCGTTATGGTAGCATTTATAATATGGCTCGTGATTTGCATTACGCTTCGATACACACTTAAGTTTCTTTTGATGTACAAAGGATATATGTTTGAGACACGTGGGAAAGGCGTTAGTCTGACAACTCGCGTGTGGGGTATTTTAGTCAAGCTCCTTCTTAAATGGAATTCACCTGCTTTGTATAGTTTTCAAGGATCGTTACCTAGACTTCCTGTACCATCTGTAAAAGACACTGTTGATCGATATTTGAAGTCTGTTAGACCAATTTATGATGACGAAACTTTTGAGAATGTTAAGAAGGAAGCAGTAGAATTTGAGAACGGAATCAGCACCAAATTACAGAGATATTTGGTCCTCAAGAGTTGGTGGGCTGACAATTTCTACTCGGATTGGTGGGAAGAGTATGCATACTTGAAAAGTAGAGAGCCATTGATGTACGGAAGCAATTATTATGGCTCAGACACAATCGACCCTCCATCAAACAATCAAGCTGCACGTGCTGGAAATTTAGTTCATTTAATGCTTAAATTTAGGGAAAAGATTTCACATCAAGTATTGCCACCAATCATGTTACAAGGAATGGTGCCATTATGCTCATCACAATATGAAAGACTGTTTAATACCGTCCGAGTTCCAGGAATTGAAAGTGATAAAATTGTACATTATGAGGATACAAAACACATCGTTGTTATCCACAAAGGATGTTACTACAAAGTCATTGTATTTTTTGGTGACAGAATACTTAATCCTTCAGAATTACAGTATCAGTTCCAAGAAATCCTTGAATTAAAACCAACAGCATCAGAAACAGAGGAAAACTTAGCATCATTGACTGCATGGAACCGTACAAAATGGGCAGAAGTTCGTGACAAATTCTTCTCAAGTGGAATCAATAAAAACTCATTAGACGCAATAGAAACTGCTGCATTTGTACTATCCCTTGATGACGAGCCATACAATTACAATCTAGATTCATCACCCACAGAGTATGGTCAGTATGGAAAACAATTGCTTGTTGGAAACGGTCGCAATCGTTGGTTTGACAAAAGCTTCAATTTGTGTGTCGGAAGTAATGGAAGGGTAAGTAAACTTAATAACATGTAATCAGAATGTTTACTGATGTAAATTGTTATGTCATTATAGACTGGAATTCATGGAGAACATACCTGGGCTGATGCATCTGTAGTTGCTCATTTACTTGAGGATTGTGTTTGTGAAGATTATGCAAGGTAAGTATGGGATTGGCTACTCATTTGACTTTATAATATCAATATTTTTCTATATTACAGTTACGACGAACATGGAAGATTAAGAGACCCAATGATTCTCAAGAGAAAGACATTCAGGAAATTACAATGGGATCTTGAAAACACAGAACTAAAAGAATCTGTCAAAATGGCTCATGAAAATGCCTTAAATATCATAAATGTAAGTGTCTTATCCTTTTTATCATGCATTAACTAATATTATACTCTTCACAGGACATTGATCATCAAATAATCGTCCACAAACAATTTGGAAAAGGGTTTATTAAAACATGTCGTTTATCACCAGACGCCTTCATCCAAATGGCTCTTCAACTTGCTTATTATCGAGATTTTGGTAAATTCTCATTGACATATGAAGCATCAACAACGAGATTATATCGTGAAGGACGAACAGAGACCGTCCGTTCATGCACCATTGAATCTTCAAATTGGGTTAAATCAATGGAGGACCCAAATGTCACAAAAGAGGAAAGAATTCGTTTACTTAAAGAAGCCTGCAATAAACATCAAACAGGATATTTGGATTCAATGACTGGAAAAGGAATTGATCGTCATCTCTTCTGCTTTTACATCATTTCAAAGTATTTAGAACTTAACTCACCGTTCCTTGATAGAATCTTTAATGAACCATGGAGACTAACGACATCTCAAACGCCAATGGGTCAGACACCAAAAACTGATCTCAACAAGTTCCCACAATTGGTATCAGCTAGTGGTGGATTTGGTCCAGTTGCTTATGATGGTTATGCAGTTTCATACATTATTGTTAGAGATGATTTGATCTTCTTTCATGTGTCGAGCAAAAAGAGTTGTTCAGTCACTGACACAGACAGATTTTCAAACCAGATTGTTACAGCTATGGATGACATTAAGAAATTATTTGAAAAGTAAATTTAATGTATTAAGTATAATGGGTTGTGTGTTGATGATGTCTGATGTTTAGAAGGGGTGAACATAGATTCTACAACGAATAGGATCCTGGTGCATAGCTGCATCTAACATAAGTTTTATTAATGTAGTATTACTGTAGAGGAACGAGGATCAAGGTCAATTCTAAGTATGAGAAGTCCTTAACAACAAACCCGAGCAAGTCAATAATCCTTTACCAAGGCTCATTAATTGGGAGGAGGTTCCGAAATCACCATGACATTCCTTAACATTGTTTTGTTAAGTTATTCAATAACAACCATCCTTCCTGGACCAAAAAATCACATTTTTAGAAAGACAACAGTTGTGAACGATTCTTATGAGATTTATGAATAAAATTTTGACTTATTGGATTTTCAATATTTACATTCTGAGAGTTTTGCATTTATTTTCTCACCTCTCTGGACTCGTTATCATTTGTTGCTCGTGAGATAAGCATGAGTATAGTGAGCATGAGAGAACTTTTTTTTCACAGACATAAATGTTCAGTTTTACTCACGCTTCGTTTGAAGTCGGTCGAATTAGAAACATTACAATTTGTTTTAAAAGACTTAATTTCACGTGATTGTTGCAAATTGTGCTGATTAAGTCTGTTTTATTAGCAGTAATTAATAATTTTATTGTTTTTTTGAATAAGTTGTGATAGTCAATAATTTGGATAGAAATTGAATTTTAGGCTATAAAGTGAGTCATCAATTATTTTCATGATAATGTAAACATTGAAATGCTTTTAAGCGATAACAAGTAACATGTAATACTATGTTAGACATTTTCATGCGCCCTACTGAATCTGTTTTTCTACAATTAGAACAGTTGTACACGTAATATTATATCATTTGAAAGTTCTTGACATGTATGACTTTAGTTAATGATTTTGATATGAATTTTTTGTCTGTCTCTCTCGCGCGCGCATATCTCTCTAATACTAAAATCCGGTTTTTCATTGTCAAATGACCGGTTGAATTTGTGCTCAACAGAGTTAATGACTTGCAGATATTTGCAATTGTCGTTTATTACAGATTAATTTTGTATTTTGGATCATCTTTTAAATAAGAATTTAAAGAGAAAAGTAGACGAATAGCTATGGAGTGGAGCCTACCCCATTCTCATATAAGGATGTTCAAATTTTGTTGGAAAAATCTTGATTTGAGCTAATAAGTGATTCACAAGTTTATTGACCTTGAATATTAAATTTGTTCTAAAAACGAGAATTTTTATCAATTTTTGGAATATGAGAAGTCATTGCCAATTTCCGAGCAACACAACATTGCAATGAATATTATAATTACCTTGTTGTGCTGCTTCGGACGAATTTAAATTTTTTACAATGTTTATGAGCTTCTCATTGCCAATAAATTTTAATTTTATTGGAAAATCCCAAATGAGTCAAATTCCCAGCGCCTTGATGGTAATCAGGGTTGCAATATGTGATGACATGTCAAAAAATTATTTCCTGCGACACATGAAATTATGTCACACATTTTACATGTTAACACATTTTTTTCTGCGATATGTCAAACATATTTCCTGTCAAACATATTCATGTGTCCACATATTTTTCCTGTCACATATTATGTTTTTCTAACATAAAATATGTTTTCCCCGTTTTTTTTTTGGAATCCAAATTAGATTAAAAAGGTCAAAAACTTAATTTTATATCAAATTTGACTCCAAGCATATCATTAATTCTAAAAACTCTTGAAATTTGAAAATATTGAGTGACAACAACAGTTTTTACTGCTTATTAATAACATTTTCCAATTGTTTCTGCTCATTTTTTACTAGTAGAAAAGGTTTCGTAAGGTCCAAATTTAATAAAATTTAAATTTTATCCAACTTCGACCGAAAAATCAAAAATTTGGTAAAAATTTATGATAAAATATTTTATGTTTGAAAAACATATTATGTGACAGGAAAAATATGTGACACATGAATATGTTTGATAGGAAATATGTTTTTCATATCACAGAAAAAAATCTGTTAACATGTAAATTGTGTGACATAATTTCATGTGTCACACATAAAATATGTCACATATATGCGCATATTCTGTAAAACATAATATGTTTTTGCAACCCTGATGGTAATGTAGATGCATAAAACTGTCAAAGAAATTTTCTTATCAACATTAAAGATTTTCAAATGCTTTGTTATGATGTAATAGAAATGGTTTGATAAGACAAGACATTTCGGAAAGTAAACACGAGAGTTGTTATATGATTCTTTTATCATGAGTGCTACTGCAAATTATCGCTTATCTACGTTGGGTGTCGTACTTTTAAATGAAAATGAAATTCATTTTTGTGAAACATTTCAGATTGTGTCGAATAGAAGAAGTTGCATTTGAATATTCTTGGGATAATGGGTCAAGTGGTGTGACTTATCTTTAATTCTAAGACATTCCTTTCACAACGATTTTGCATAAAATAATATTATATGTTAATCCTTTTCTTTCTAGATGTCATCAACTGATAAATCCTCAAAAATCACAAAATTTAAGATTAAGTTTAAAAACTTTTCATATCCATTAACACCAAACAGTTACTGGCTATTCTTTGGAGTTTTCCTTCCATTTTACTTCCCAATTCAACCTGGCGAAGTTTACATTCGAGTATTAGGAAAAGTCGGTCTATTTAGCTTCCTTGTGTGGATAAGACTGTGTGTAATTAGTCGGATATTATTGACTGTATTGCTTAAACATAAAGGATTTATTTTGGAGACGCGAGGAGAGGAACCTTCCAAAAAAACTCAGATTTATAAATGGATAATAGAAAGTAAGTGAAGCCTTTATTTAAAGTTATCTAGACAGCACTTTCACTGTTCCTTTTCTTTCATCAGCTGTTCAAAAATGGAACAAACCCTTGTTTCTTGGTCTAGAAAATGCTCTACCAAGAATGGCAGTGCCACCATTAGATGAAACCATTCCAAAATATTTAGACTCAATTCGTCCACTTACAGACGATGAGAACTTCTTGAGAATTAGTAAAGAAGCTGAGACATTCCAAAAAGATTTAGGCAAGAAACTTCAACGAAAGCTCGTATTTAAAAGCTGGAAAGCTGAAAGCTACGTCTCAGATTGGTGGGAGGAATTCCATTACTTGAAAAGTCGTGAACCTTTAATGTACGGGACCAGTATCTACATTTCTGATAACATTAATTGCCCAACAAAAAGTCAATCAGCTCGTGCTGCTAACTTAGTATCATTAATGCTTCAGTATAGAGAAAAAATTAGAACTCAGCAATTGGAACCAATTTATGTGAGAGAAATCATTCCGATTTCAGTTTCTGCATACCAAAAACTTTTTAATACAACTCGCGTTCCTGGAATTAATGGTGATAAAATTGCTAATGTTGAGGAATCAAAACATATTGCTGTACTACACAAAGGATGTTATTATAAAGTTGACGTATTTCATAACGATAGATTACTTAATGCTGTTGAATTACAGCATCAACTGAAAGAAATTTTAGGATCACAACAGACTACCTCGTCTACAGAACAAAACATTGCATCATTAACTGGATGGAACCGTACAAAATGGGCAGAAGTTCGTGACAAATATTTTGCAACGGGAATCAATAAAGAGTCATTAGATGTAATTGAAACTGCTGCATTTGTTCTGTCCCTTGATGACGAGCCATACAATTATAATCTAGATTCATCACCCAAAGAATATGGTCAGTACGGAAAACAATTGCTTGTTGGAAATGGCCATAATCGTTGGTTTGACAAAAGCTTCAATTTGTGTGTCGGAAGTAATGGAAAAGCTGGAGTTCTTGGGGAGCATACTTGGGGTGATGGAAACATTGTATCACATTTCTTTGAAGAATGTATTATAGATGATTATCATTGGTGAGTCGTGTGAATCGTGTTTTTAATGATAATGGGATTCCACTTAATTATTAGTCATATGACCTGATTTTACAATCTAATATAAATCTATTTGTTATTCCCGAAAAATTGCGTATTAATTCTCTGTACTTTATCATTTGTAGCTATGACGAACATGGCAATCTAAAAGGTCAAATAGAGTACAAACCAAAAAATGTTTCCAAACTTAATTGGGAACTAGATGATGACGAACTGAAAAGCTTGATCTCAGAAGCTGGGAAAGCAGCAGAAGAATTAGTAACCGTAAGTTAATTCACAAACCGATGAAATTCTCAAGAAAATATTATAATCTTGACAATTTCAGAATGTTGACCACCGTGTCGCAGTCCACAAAAAATTCGGAAGAGGATTCATGAAGTCATGTAAAGTCTCACCAGATGCATTTATTCAAATGGCTTTCCAACTTGCTTATTATCGTCAACACAAAAAATTCTGCTTAACTTATGAACCTGCCATGACAAGACTGTTTAGAAAAGGAAGAACTGAAACGATTCGTTCATGCACAAAAGAGTCATCAGCCTGGTCAAAATCAATGGACGATAAAAATTTCAACAAGCGTGAAAGACTTGAACTATTCAAGACAGCCTGTCAAAAGCACCAAAAATTGTATTTAGATGCGATGTACGGAAAAGGAGTTGATCGTCATCTTTTTGCCCTTCAAGTATCAGCTCAACAAAATAAGGCTGACAGTAATTTCCTGAACGAAGCAGTTAATGAACCATTTATGATGTTAACAAGTCACATTCCACATAGTCAAACACCAAAAACTGATCATAGTAAAAATGAATTTTTGATCTCTGCTGGAGGGGCGATGCCACCTGGTTCACATAAGGGTTACGGAATTTCCTACTTCCCATTTAATGATGAGCTTTTATTCCTTCATGTTACAAGTATGAAAAATTGTGAAACAACTGACACCGAGGCACTACTTAATGAAATTATTAAAGCACTTTCGGACATTAAGAATTTATTTGAGAATTAATGAATGACAAATTTCTATTTTTTAAAGACGGAATTCAATGAGAATGTAAACAAAATTTTAAAGCGCGATAAAGTGTAATCAAAACATAAGAAAAAAAGTTCATTGTGCCACTTTAAATAGCTTTTGTTTGTATTTTTAATATAATTAATTACACACATTAATTAAAACCACACACTGTCAAATCGAGCTTTTTTCATTATTTTTGCAGCACAGCTAATATGATTTCCCGATCGTCACACCTTGACATGTTTCCGACGGGTGGCAACCATTTCAATGAATTTCAACTTTGAATGAGATTATTTTATGAATTTTAACAATTTTTATTTCAGACTGTTCATTCTTTGGATGTAAATTGTGATGAATGATTTTTGGGGATGAAAATCAAAAGCATTTTAAGGGCGAATGAAATGTTATATTTTTTTAAAAACATTTGAATTATTAAAATGATTTTGTTTTACTTTCTAGATTCAACCTTAAAATCTTTTTTTTTTTTGATTATTTCTACTATTGAAAATGATTCGTCATCCTCGAAAATGTTAATCATCATCAATAATCCAATTTTCCTAATTTCGATATACTAATTTCATCACTTCATCAGAATTGATTGACAGATTTCGCCATAAAAAATTAAGATGTTAGATGTATCTATCCTAAATCTTATAAAAAGGCAGACAATTTATTACTCTTAAAACAGTAAGATTCAGAATTCAAAGAGATTCAATTCAGTTTCAATTTAGATAAACCTTAAATATGGATATAATTAAAAGTAAGTAATGAAGAAGAAATAATTATTAAATTAGTTGAAGTGATTGAGCAAAGATAAATCTAATTATCGATCAATCTGCAGACGAATCTGTCTTAGAAATCTTCTTTTATGAAGTTCGATTCCCATTACACGCCAATCACTCTCAATCTTTTACATAAAGTTTTATCAATATGACTAGCTCAATACTCACGATACTAAAATGTTTTAAAAATAAAATTATTTTTCTAGAAGTTGAAGAAATCATCAAAAAAAATTTGTCTGAAAACAACGACGATCCTTTCTTTATTTTAAATCCTGGAGATGTGGAAAGAAAGTTAAACATTTGGAGAATTAAAGTTCCAAAAGTTACCCCGTTTTTTTGCTGTTAAATGCAACGATAATGAGCATGTATTGGAACCATTGGTGAATCTAGGTGCCGGATTTGATTGTGCATCAAAAAAGGAAATCTTACAAATGCTTAACTATAAAGTAGATCCAAAAATGATTATTTATGCAAACACGGTTAAGCAAGTGTCTCATTTAAAGCTTGCAGCTGAAAAAGGGATTCAAAAAGTCACTTTTGATTGTGCTGCTGAACTTGAGAAAATCAAAAAACATCATCCAACTGCAGAAGTTGTTTTGAGAATCAGATTTGATGCCGCAACATCCACTCTCAGTTTGGGAGAAAAGTACGGTTGTAATCCAGTCACTGAAGCACCAAAATTGATAAATCTTTGTAAAGATATGAACATGAACTTGATTGGAATCTCATTTCATGTTGGAACTGCTGCAACTGATTGTACAGTTTTTGAGAAAGCTTTGGATGCTGTTGGTAATTTGTTTGATTACGCTGAGACAATAAACATGAGATTGAAGTTTATTGATATCGGAGGTGGATTTATTGGAAGTGATATGAAGCTGTTTGATAAAATTTCAGAATCAATCAATTCAGCAATTGAGAGAAATTTCCAATCAAATGATATTGAATTTATAGCTGAACCAGGAAGATATTTTGTGGACACAGCATTTTCATTAGCAGCACAAGTAATTTTGAAAAGACAATCTGAAGATGGGAAAATGTTTTACTTCCTAAATGAGAGCTATTACATGTCTTTCCTTATTATGTTGCAAATCAATATGAAGCTTGAATTTTCAACAATCAAACTGTCAAAAACCTTAAGAGAAGCAACAAAAAAGCTTTCAACCATTTGGGGATGTACTTGTAGTTCACTAGATAAAATAATAGCAGATATAGAAATGCCTGAAATTGACATTGGCGATTGGATAGTTTTCCATAATATGGGAGCTTATACAATGTCAGCTACGACAAACTTTAATGGATTTTGTAACAAGAATCTTTTCATGTTGAATATAGAATAATTTGATTGAAAAATAATCAAATTGAATTTTAATGAGTCATTGGGAAATTTCTGCATAACATTTTATTCAGGTCCTTAAAAATTGTAATTTCACAAAATTTGTAATAAGTTTTCAATTTATTTAAAAATTCAAGGTGGATGTGAAAAATAGAATAAATAGGTAACATTTTGCATAAGACCCAGGAGAAATATTGTTGAACTAAGGAAATGAGAGATTTAAAATTAAAGCCGAAATCTTATGACTCAGATGTTCTCTCATATTCTCTTGTTATAAATATTCTGACTAATTTCTTCATCGGTCCGATCGTCATTTGTTGTATTTCATCAGACTTCTTGATGAATTAAAGCTAAAAATTAGTGTATCCTTATTTATTGAATAAACTTTAAAATTCTCAATTTATAAAGTAAATTTGACCAACAATGTCATTATCAAGCAAGTTCAATCTAGAAAAATAAGTTGATTCATTTAAAGCAAAACTAAGAAATCTCAAAAAAATCAAAGAAGTATTTCAAGTACTTTTAAAATAATGCCTGGAATAATAACTTTAGCTTATTCATTAATTGAAAGTGAAATTGTCGAAAAATTAGAATTATCAGTGAAACATCAACCTGAATTCGATCAACTGATCATCCAAAGTATTCCATCTACACTAAAAGGTCTTCAATTAATTTCTCAAAATTGGTTTGAGTCTAAAGTTTGCAGTTATGAGAAACTGATTGCAATAATTCTTCAAATCAATGATAATCTTAATGATCTTCCTGAAAATATCGAGTTTATTTCCAAAAATAGAATTTTGGTTGGTTTTCAATCGACACTTGAAGATCATGAGAGCAAATCTTATTGGAAGTTTGCTGGACGAGATAAATTTTACAGTTTAAGCATTGAGAATGATGCTTCTACAAATGCTACTTTTTTCTTTCGTGAATTCATTGTTGATGAGATTAGAAATGGAAGAACTGGTTGGTATTATTTGTTTATTAAGGATTAAATCTTGGATTTTTTGAAACAAATTTGTTTCAAGTAAATTTAATCTCAGTAAACATTAATCCATCTTAGAAATTAATCAGAATAACTCATTGATCATTTTAGGAATATTAGAGAAATATCAGCACAAAAATAAAATTCGTCTTCATGAAGTTGGTGACAGGAATGAAAAGAATCTATTGGTTCTTGCAGTATCGAAAAATCAAAGCAATATTGTAAAAACTCTTCTCGAACATGATTTTGATGCTGATGATGCGATTGATGTTGCTTGGGAGCTTTTTGAAGAAATAAACGAAGATGCTGAAAAGAAAGAAGAAGTTAATAAAATAATTTTGTGTCTTTTAGGAGCAAATTCTAGGTTTCCAAGTGATTTTGAGTACGAAAAAGCTTCAAAAGAAGTACAAGAATTTGTTGACAAATGTGAAAGCTTACATTACGATGTTGATGATGACAACTTTGATGGTATTAAAGAAAAACTTGAATCAAATCCTGACTTAATCCATTTTTATGAGCGAAACAGTGAATCACTGCTTGCTTATTCATTACGAATGAAAAAGTTTAAAATATTTGAGTTTTTAGATAAGGAAATCACAACAGGATGTCATGAAGATCTCGATGAAGTGTATGAAAATATGATTGCAAAAGAATGTCGAATGCTGCGCGAGCAGCACAAATCAAATGCTATAGAATTTCCAGAAACTTACATTTTCATTCTCAGATCTAAGTCAAGGATTGGTAATAATGACAGACATTCTAATATGAAATGGAAATACATTGACGAAGCATTTAAGACCATCAACAGCAACGACTATTGCAAAAAGATCCTTAAAGTCGCAGCTGAATTCAAAAAGCTTAAAATTTTCTTTGATTTTAAACACAACTCGACTTATTATTTGGATCCAGCAACATCAATCTATTCAAAAGGAATTATTTACGAAGGTGGATCAATCTTTATTGGCGCAAAGTACTTATCAGATGATGACAAAAAGTTTGAAGTCTTTGGAGTTCTTGCTCATGAGTTGTGTCATTTGGCTGTATTCTTGGGATTTATGAATCGAAATTTTGATCCATTTCCAGTTGGTCAAAGTGACAGCAAAACGAGATTTATTGATCAAGTCATGGCTCAATGTAAGGAACGAGAAGAATCTGAAAAAATTATCGCTAATGTCTTTAAAAGTTATCCACAAGATGTTCAAGATTCTGAAATGATTGTGACTGTTCCACAAATGTTGATGCATTATATCAGAGATCCAGTAAAACTCTTAGAACTTGAAGGAATATTTGAGGAACTGTTCAGATACAGCAGAGAAGTTGTTGAACCAGAACTTGACAAAGCATTGCCTGTCTTGAAAATTCTTGGAGATGATGAAAAGTCAATTAAGTTTGAGAATCTAACGGAACCGATGAGAATTAGAATTTTGCATTCTAGAATAAATTTTCAAGAATCTGAGACTTCTTTTCATGAATTAATTGGAACTGACGAAAAAGTTTTAACAATTCTGACTTCTGGCAATATCCGAAAAATTCTTATCAAAAATGGAGAAATGGAATTCAGTTCTATTTGTGAGTTAAATCTAAAGTATGGATTGCTTGAAAGAAGCTTCATAGAAAGAGAAACCAGTGACAGGATTAAATTATTGGACCAAAACTTACATCTCGAAAACATGCAGAAAGAAAAGAGAACTTTAGAATCTGTGCAGGATTTAAGCATATTCTTATTGTCTGATCATGCAGGAAGTGGAAAAACTACGATTTTCAAGGATTCTGCAATTAAACTAAAGGCACTGAACAAAAATGTTTGGGTTTCGTTCATAAATTTAAGGATTAATGGTCCAGTTTTGGAAAATTTTAAGAACAAAATTAAAGATTTAACTTTTGATGATGTCTGTCAGATGTTACTTGAAATGGTTGATCAAGAATCAGACATTGAGAAAGCAATATTCACAAAACTATTCTTCGATGGAACTACAATCTTATTTTTCGATGGATTTGATGAAATAAGTCCCAAATACACTCAAATTGTGATGAAAATGTTTGAAGTTTTGATTACCAATGAAGTTAAGAATCATTTGTGGATATCAACGCGTCCTCATTGTGCTGAAATATTAGAAATACTGTTAAATGTAAAAGCTTTTAAGTTCACAGACTGCACTAATGAGGAATACTTGGAATTTATTACAAAAATTTTGAAATTGAACAAAGTTCCTGAAAATTCATTAAAGTTTGAGAAAGTTGTTCAAAATGTGTATTATTATATCCACAACGATATCTTTTTAAGGCCATTAGTCAATGAACCTAGTTTCGTTGCAAAACAAGCAATTGAGAATCCATTGTTGATCGAAATGTTAACAGAATTGTTCATTAACGATTCAATAAAAGTGGACACAGACAATTACAATCTATACCTTAAAATGGTTGAAAAACAAAAGGAAAAAGTCGGCATTAAGATTCCAAATTTAGAACGAGATCCAACAGGAAAGCTTTCAGTTTGGGATGTCCATAAAATTTTATCACTTTTGCTTATTTTTGGTGATGATTTTGTCGACGAATTAAAATTCAAACTTGAAACTTTATCAATAATGAAGAAATGGAAGAAAGAGAAGAAAAACTGGACATCCGACATGATTCAAAGATATGGATTCGTAATTGTGGATTTAAGTGCTGAAGATTTAAGAAGCTCAATAGATTTTAATCACAGGACTTATGCTGAGTTTTTTATTGCTCAATTTTTGATGGATTTCATCTTTGATGACAATGATGAAGTCAGTGAAGCAGAAGTTATGAAAAAATTTGAAATTTTCGATCTGGTCATGAAGAATGGAAAAAGATTCAGCATAATTTTGAGTTTCATGGTTAATTTCATAAAATTTGGAACATATGAAGACATTGGTGATGAAATTAAGGAAATATTGACCACAAAAATTGGAAGCATTCATTTAATGGTTGAGAATTCAGAAGAATCATCAGTCGACGAAGTTGCTGCATACTTTGGAAATTACTCACAATTTCTAATCAATGAAGATGAATTGTTGAGAAATTTATGGAAATTGGATGGAAAAAATATTCTTCAAGATTTTATTACCAAAAAATATTCTTTATCAAACATTGCAGATCTAGCTTGGTTTTGTTTTGGACCAAATTGGCACGTAGTAATGAACAAATGTGCCTCAACATTAACGACAGACGAAGAATTTGAGCAAATTAAAGGAGATGTAAAGAATGAAAATTTATGGAAGAATGACAAAAATTCTTTAAAGTTTTGCGATCTTGTTGATAAAAACTTTGATGCTGACGTAAGGAAGTCATTTTATGAAAACTTAAGGTTCCATAATATCTACACGAATGAAGCACTTGCGTCAATAATTTTAAAAATGTCATCTGGATGTGATAGAGCGTTGTTTGTATCCAAATGCTTAATGGAATTGAATCTTTTTGATATTTTTAGTGATAATTTGAACTTAGTGTTTACAAAGATTGAGGAAGCGTATAATAATGATTTTGAGGAAATAAGGAAATTCGTCTTTAATAATACTCGAGCTTGTGGCCTATTAAGAGTTGTCATGACCACAAACATTGAAAATTTCCGAATCATTCGTGATTTTTACATAAAATACAAAAATTCATGGACTGAGATTCAAAATATTCTATTAAGTCACGGAGTTTATTACTTTATTTATGCGCCTGGTTCAAGATGTTATTATGAATTTAAAGACTTTGTAAAAGAAGCCTTTGGAAACGACACATCACGGATCGCAAATATGATAGAGCAATACAATATGGAGAATTTTCACATTCCAGAAGCGTCCGTAGATAATTTAAACGATTTCTTAATGTACATTTTTAACAATAATGAAGATAAGGTCAAGAAGCTACTTTTAAGAATCAATCTTTATAAACTTTAAATAATAAACAGCACTGGATTTATTTGTAATATTTCAAACGTTGCATTTTAAACATAACTTTTTTAAGGATATTCGATAGAACTCTACAGAATACTTGACAGCATATAATTAATTTAAAGCAAAAATTCTGTAGAACTCTACAGAACCTGTTCTGTAAATTGTTTGAGAATCGCAATTCAATTCCTCAGTTCTACAATCCTGACATCTTCAATAAAAATAATAATCCAAAATATGTCTACAGAACATAAATCTTAACACGATAATTGCATTTGGTAAAACTTCGAATTTCGAGGATTAATCAAGCATTAAATTTTGTGAAGGAGGTTGTGAATGTCTATCCAATGAATATTCATCTATCTACAGATTTTTCTTAATTTATTGATCTACTTAACGAAACAGTGAAAGCCTTTTGCCTGGAAGGACTCCATTTTGAAGGATTCCAGCCTGAATATCTTTTAACGTTGGCAATCCTTGAATTTGTCCACGTGCCGCGAGTGCTGGTGATGAGGAAAGGAATCGTCTAGCCACTTTTTGAATGTCTTCAGCTTGGATTTTTTCTAAAAAGGTAAATATATATTTTTAAAGGTTTTTACATCCAAATTGTTAATTATTTAAACTTACCAATAGAATCAATGAAATGCTGTGTCTTCTTTCTCTGTCCAGTAGCCAAGACTTGTCTGGCAATATCCTCAAAGACAACAGGTCTAGACTCAAGGTTCATTAATAACATCGATTGCAATTGAGTCTTTGCTCTCTTTAATTCTGTTGGATTTGGTGCTGTTGACATATTAACAAGCTCTTTTGTAATAACTTCGACCATATTTCGTACATGAGTTGGTGGAGCACTAGCATGAATGCAGAATAATCCAGAATCCATATAAGCATGATTATAAGCTGTTGCACTGTACATCCAGTGATATCTATTGAGAACATTTGTGTAAAGTCTTGTATACATTCCTTTTCCAGGTCCGCCAGCTGAAAATGATCCACCACCGCCCATCATAATGTTCAAAACGCATGCAGCAATAAAATCATCGTCTTGATGTGAACATCCTTCGAGACCAATAACAACATGTGCTAATTCTGGTAAGCCGACTGAAGCATAAATTGGAATTTCACATTCTTCTGTTTTATGACCTCCTGTATATTGAGCTATTGATGAATCTACCGTATATGCACCACGATTCTTTACTGGTTCAATTTCCCACGTTGCTTTATTTTCGACGAAGTGCTTCTCGACAGCACGAACAAATTCATCATGATTAACGCCGACACCTGCAACGACCATTCTTTGTGGTGTATGATGATGCTTAAGATAAGTCAAAAGCATATTTCTGTCAATTTTTGGTGCATTTATAGGCGGACAGAGTTTTGGCAATCCAAGAGTATTATCACGATATGCAGCAGCATGTATCATGTCCATTAAAATTGGTTCTTGTTCTGGTCTCATATGAAGTGATTCTAATTCAAATTGAACAGCTTGTCGTGCCATATCAACTTCTTCCATCTTCAATTGTGGACGCATGACTACTTCACCGAGCACTTTCGTCACTTGATCAAGTCCACGACTGTCAGCTGATGCAGCATAAATGAAAGTATCTCGAGATGATTGACAGTCACAAATTCCTCCATGCTTCTCAAGTTCCTTTAATATTATGTCCTTTTCTGGATATTCTATAGTAGAATTGAATGCCAACTTTTCAAGGAAATGAGCAATTCCGCTGGGATAAGCAACTTCATATCGTGGACCAGAATCAATAACAACACCTATTGTACAAAATTGACCGAAACGATTTTCTGATGCAACTCTTAAGCCATTGGAAAGGGTAGTGACCCTTGTTTCTTCTTGTTCTTTCCTTACTTGTGCATATTCGACTTGTGGAAGGTCTACAATGTGTATTTAGGGCAAATTAATAAATTTTTCATTGCATTTTCTATATTTATACCTTTAAGTGGCTCTGTAAGTGGTGGAAATGGCGTAACAATCTCCTTTGACGGTGTATTTGTAGTCGGTCCATCAAGATTACTTGCTCTGCCTGATTTATTACTATCACTAGATTTTTCTGTCGCAAAATTCCTCAAAAATCTGAAATCGATCAAAGAATTTGTTAAATTCAATTAATTATGAGCGGAATTGATATGTCACTTACTTATGCTGGTTTCTAAATACACTGCACGATGCAATTCTCTTTAAATCTAATCTTAAAGCCATAATTTTGTTAATTAAAATGTTTCTCTTGAGAAATTTATGTTCTGTATGAACTTCCACGCTCTAAACAGCCAAATGTGGGGATTTTGGTTCAAATTTTTTTCGACCGTTATAATCTTCTGTTATAATGAAGATGGGATAAGTTATTGATGATAGTTTAATTTGCTTAGTTGCAGCTCGTTTATGATTAATTTAAATAGACAGCTGTAAAATAATGATCTCAGTAATCCGAGAAAAACAATAAATCAGTTGAATATCTCGAACAAAAACATAAAGGCGTGTTTCATTGAAAAATCAAAAATAAAACATGGCGCAGCTGTATTTAAGTATTGAAAAGTTCAATTTTGAAGCTTCGGCGTTAGAAATTGAATGGAAACGATTTTCAAAATAATTCAACTCATATTTGGTAATCAACCAACTTGATGAATCATCAGGATATCATCAAGAATCTGCTGTTAACAGATCCAGAGAAGCAGAACTATGAAAAAGTTTTTAATTAAACGAAACTTAATAAAGAAGGTCTGTGCAGATGATGAACGCAAAAGCAGTGAGTCTAATGTAGTAGTCAATTGTGATGAACTAAAAGAACATGCAATAGGCAATGTTTGGAGTAAAAAATTACTCGTGAATGATAAAATGATCAATTTTAAGTTGGATACTGGATCGCAGGTTAATACTTTAAGCATAGATATGTTCAAAAGTTTAGGAAAGAAATTTAAGATTGAGAAAAGTAATTTAAAATTACAAGGATATTTTGGTGAAATCAATCACCCTTTAGGGAAGACGATTCTTCCAATCAATTTCAATAATAATGTTTACCTTGAAGAATTCATAATCATTGATAAACATACGGTACCTTTATGAGGTTTAGAGACATGTGTAAATCTAAAACTTTTATCTCGTATAGATTCCTTGCAATTGAATCAAATGTTGTGTTCAGAACAGCAAAAGAATAAGTTTTTAGATTTTTATAAAAAAGCTTTTACAGGTCTAGGCAAGTTTAATAGACCTCTTAAATTTAAATTAAAGGATAATGCAATTCCGGTTGCGAATCAGAATCGTCGAATTCCATTCAAGTTGAAGAATAAGCTTCAGAATAAATTAAATGAAATGGAAAATAAAGGAATTATTTCATGTGTCAATGAACAACGTGAATGGATTAATAGTATAGTAATTGTTGAAAAAGGAGACAAAATTAGAATTTGTATTGATCCAAAACATTTGAATTAAATAAGTTTCATTTGCCGATTCCATCCCTTGATGAATTAAAGCAAGATTTGAAAGATTCTCAATACTTTACGGTTTTAGACCTCAAGGATGGTTTTTGGCACATAGAGTTGGACGAAGAATCCAAAAAATTGTGCGCTTTTAGTTCTCCTTTTGGCTTGTGGCAATTTAATAGTATGCCTTTTGGGATAAATATTGCATCAGACATCTTTCAAAAGTACATTAACATAGTTCCTAGGAATTTTTACGTAGAGGTTTACGTAGGCTCCTAGAAATTCCTAGGAAATACTAGGAATTTTGGAAAATCCTAGTAATTCCTAGGAACCTTATTTTAGGAACTAAATTTTTAAATGATTACTATGATTTCCTAGTATATACTATGATTTCCTAGGATAGCTCATTAAATCTTGGAGGAATTTCCTCAAAATTCTAGAAGTTCCTAAGATTGCTAAGTATATTAAATGAATTCTTCAATGAATTTCCTTACTTTCTGTAGAATTCACTAAGGATCCTAAGATTCCTAAGTATATTAAATGAATTCTTCAAGGAATTTCCTTACTATTTGTAGAATTTACTAAGGATCCTAAGATTTCTAAGTAAATTAAATGAATTTTTCAAGGAATTTCCTTACTATCTGTAGAATTTACTAAGGATCCTAAGATTCCTAAGTATATTAAATGAATTCTTCAAAGAATATTAAATGAATTCTTAAATGAATTTCCTTACTATCTGTAGAATTTACTAAGATTCCTAAGTATATTGAATGAATTCTTCAAGGAATATTAAATGAATTCTTAAAGGAATTTCCTTACTATCTGTAGAATTTACTAAGGATCCTAAGATTCCTAAGTATATTAAATGAATTCTTCAAAGAATATTAAATGAATTCTTAAAAGAATTTCCTTACTTTCTGTAGAATTTACTAAGGATCCTAAGATTCCTAAATATATTAAATGAATTCTTAAAGGAATTTCCTTACTATCAGTAGAATTTACTAAGGATCTTAAGATTCCTACGTATATTAAATGAATTCTTCAAGGAATATTAAATGAATTCTTAAAGGAATTTCCTTACTTTCTGTAGAATTTACTAAGGATCCTAAGATTGCTAAGTATATTAAATGAATTCTTCAAGGAATATTAAATGAATTCTTAAAGGAATTTCCTTACTATCTGTAGAATTTACTGAGGATCCTAAGATTCCTAAGTAAATTAAATGAATTCTTCAAAGAATATTAAATGAATTTGTTGCATGGTGAATCAACATTTTATTATTAAGAAAGAAATGATCACAGATATTATTGAAAATATTGTAAAATTAGTTTAATTTTATTTGCAATTGTACCACTGTTCAAAATAGTCATTGAAATACAGTCCACTCATTCTAAAACCTTAAAACATCATTTTTTATTGGTCCTTCGAACCTTGAGATTGAAACAGTGAAACAAGACGTGGAGTAGACTTAGAAATTGAATATTGAAAGAAATTGGAAAATTTGAAGAAGAATTTTGAAGAAAGTTCAAGTTGAAGCTGGCAGATTTGTTGAAGCAAAGTTCAACAAGAATAAGCAATAATGAATACATAGAAAGGAAAGAAAGCAAAGTTGAATTCAATAATCGAAGATTTTGAAAGCATAAAAAGCACTTATGACATGTTAAAGGAAGAAACAAATTTTGAAGAAGCAAAAGTGTATCATGATGTGTTCAAAGACATGTTAGATGAATTCAACGAAGTGTTCATTGAATTTGAACTGTTACATCGAAAACGAGAAAATGATGTTGAAACTCAGAAGTTTACTTTGTTCAAGAAACTTGCAGTTATTACAACATTTGAGTTAGCAGTAAAGATAGAAACTCTGAAGAAAGAGCAAGAGAGACGTTTAGAAGTTAAAGTAAACGCAATTCAATCATCGACATCATCAACAGGAAGAGTGAAACTTCCTGAAATAAAACTTCCAGAATTCAATGGAGAATTTAGCAATTGGATATCTTTTAAAGATACTTATATCTCCTTGATACATTCAAACCCAATGTATTCAGACATTGACAAATTCCATTACTTGAAGTCATCAGTGAACATTCAGCCAGAATCTCAAAATATATTGAACAACTATCAATTCTCAGGAGACAATTACAAATCTGCCTGGGAAGCATTATGTCGAAGATTTGACGATCGAAGAGTTTTGTTGATGCAATACACAAATTCTCTTATGACAATTAGTGATCCTAGATACTTACATCAGTCATCGTGCAGCATTCAATTTGAAGAAAGTTACACCAGAAGAATTATTGGACATGATTTTTGAACAATTTGTCAGGAATCGTTTTGATAAAAATCTTATGAGAGAATGGGATATCCATATTGACAATAGTGATGAAAAACCAAGTTGGACTGCTTTCTGTAAATTCATGGATCAACGTATAAAATCATTGGCATTCACTTATCGAGAAGGGAATTCTTTTGGATTGTTCAAATCGTTATCTGATGAAAGTATCACATCACAGTCAAGTAAGACATCACTCGTAGTAAACAAGAATGTGCAAATTGAAAAATGCAAACTGTGCTCTAGTAGTCGTCGAGTCTATCAGTGCGAAATATTCAGAAAAGAAAATCAAGAAGGAAGACTCAAAATAGCTTCAATATACAAATTGTGTATGAACTGTCTTAGACCTGGACACAGCAAGCAAGATTGCAATAGTAATTCAAGATGTAAAGTTTGTGAAGAGAATCATCATACAAGCATGCATAGCAACAACTCAAATTCTTTATTAAATTCGCAAGAAGCAACTCAAACATGAATTTTTGTCGAGAGGGCAGAACTCTCTCATAGTATTGAGAGTATGAACTAAGAAATCAAGTTTTATCATGCTCAAGTCGTCTTAACAAGCTTGGATCAACATTCAAGTTAATTTTATCTCATCTCATCTCTAGCAATACTTGGACGACCATTCAAGTTTTGCAATCAAACTCATCTCTTCCGAATCATATCTGGCAGAACAGAATTATTCTGCAGTTTCAGCCGAACACCCGAACAACCGAACAAAGTGTACTAATAAGCTACCTTTAAGAAACAAGTTTCAAAAATGCGCTAAAATTTTTTAATTGCTAAACCATGTTGACATTCCTAATTTTTGTACTTTTTCATTAACTTATTTAATTATTCCTGTTACTTTACGTATGAATTTTCCTGTTACTTTACGTAGGATTTTACAAGGAATACGTAGAAATTTCCTATAGGAAATCCTAGGAATTCCTAGGAATTACTTTCTGCCAGATGACCATGAGCCGTAATAAAAAACGTCACCTCATGTACTACATTTGATGAAAATATGCCAATAATTTTAGAAACCGATGCCTCGTCATACGGTTTAGGTGCATTTTTAAAACAAGGAGATAAAATTATTAGCTCTGCTTCACGTTGTCTTTCTGAAACAGAAAAGGAGTACGGTCAGATTGAAAAAGAATTTTTAGCCGTTTTCTTTGCGTGCAAAAAGTTTCACAATTATATTTATGGAAGGAAAGTTACTTTAATATCTGATCATCGTCCTTTAGAAAGTATAATTAATAAAGATATTAGTAAGATAGGATCAAAACGCTTGCAGCGTATTCGATTAAAGTTACACAAATATGATTTAGATTTGAAGTACAAGCCCGGCAAAAGCATTCCAGTAACAGATTTCTTATCTCGATACGTTTCAAATAATTTGATAGCTGTAGATTTTGAAGAGAATTTCATGAAACAAATGATTCATTCAGTGAATATTAGTGATGATAAACTAAAAATCTTTCAAGCTGAGACAGATAAAGATAAAGAATGCTCGTTGTTAAAGAAAT